GTGTGCTAGTGCTTTAAATTAGGAATGCTAAGAAAATAAAATTATAAATCAAATATAGCGCATGGTAAATTTATCTTTGTTAAAAAAACAAGAAACTTTCTGACTAACAGTACCATGAAGTTTAAAATCTCTATTATTTTTTAAAATCTTGAAGTAATTTTTAAAAGGTAAAATAATAATAATCTGTAATTTTTGTGAATACTTGGTGGGGGCGGTGATTTTTATTTTTTTAAAATTATTTCCCCTTTTTTACACATTTTTAAAAATAATTTATATTTTGGTCAAATTCTCATGAAATGTTCTAAATCAAGAATATGATATAGGAAAATGAATTTACTTTCTAAATAAACAGATTTTATTAAATAATTTTATGTGGTTTGTTTTTTTCCTTCTTTGCATGTGATCACCAATTTTTTTATTTTTTTTTTACACATTTTCATTTTTTTAAAAATTGCATTTTTTTTTCACAACTTTTAAGTATTAACACTATGTGTTTGAAAACAAATATTTTTAGAAACCTCATGCATTTCCCCACAATAATATATATAACATCATGAATTTTAGGCAAGTTTTCTAAAAGTTATTGACTCTTTTTTTAAGGTCACTAGAAATCTCATGAAAAACATCCAAAATTCAAGGAACTAAAGACTAAAGAGTAGGCACTTTGATTAAAATTTCAAAACATTTTTAAAAGTATAAAAATATTACAGCTGTATAGAGCACACATAATGGTTTACAAAAACACCAAGATCAACTTTCTAGCTCAAGTGGTTCAAAAGTTATGAATTTTTTAGTAAGGACCTCAAAACCCCTTTTTCACTAAGGGATTTTCCTCCACATTTCATCACCCTCATATTGCTATTGTTTATATGCCTATAACTTTGTTATAAAATGAGACAAAAATATGATATTTTGAGGGAACACAGTTAAATATGAGTTCTAAATAAAGCCACAAAATACAATTTTAGTTTTTGTTAATATTCCGCAAAAAAATATTTTTAATCTTGATAATTTTCCTTATTAAAATGTATCAAATATGCTGACTCGTCACTTATTTGTATTTAATTAATATATTTTTTAAAAACATATATATATTAAATTTCCCTAATTTTATAATAATAATAATATTCTTTAGATATTAATTTCAAATTTTCAATGGAATTGTTTAACATTTATAAGTATCAAATAATAATACAGGGATTATTTGATAAAATTTATTTTATTTATTTATTAAAATGAATAAAATATGCTGACTCATCACTTACTTGTATTTAATTAATTAATATTTTTTAAATATAAATGTTTAAAATTTCCCTAATTTAATAATAATATTCTTTAGATATTAATTTAAAATTTTCTGTGGAATTGTTTAACTTTTATCAGTATAAACAAATAATACAGGGATTATTTGATACATTTATATAAAATTGACGATTATACTTTTTATTTTACCATTTTCTATGTATGTATTTTAGTCCTATTTGAATGTGACCAAAAAATTAGTAATCTTGTTTCACAAAACAACATGTATCAACTTTGGCTGTTGATAGAAATTAAAATAAGTTCTAAGTCATTTGCTTGAGGTAAGTACAAGCTTTTATGATTGTTCTTTAGTAAAAGCTTAATAAATTCTTGGATTACTGTATCAGAAAGTGTGTTATTTCTTTAAGAAATCTGAGGATTATATAAGTTTCTTGTGGAATATTGTGATTTGTGAGTGAATTCAGGATATTTCAATATCAAAGGTAAGTGAATATTTTTTTAAAACATTTTTATTTGAAAATTTAAGAATCATAATTTCCATTAAATAATAAAATATGATTACATGGCCTAAAATATCATTAACTATAATTAATTATAGTTAGTTAATAGGTCTTGCAATAATAAGTTGGGATGGTACTAGACCTATTGGCTACTATAGGCTATACTATACTAGGCTTATAGGATGGATGGATATATATATATATATATATATTTATTTAATTATTTATACTATTAGTTATCATACAATAAGGATAGGGCTATTTATCCCACTTCCCCACTCAAAATAAAAGTATCAGATAACAGTAATTAGAGCTATTAAATTGTTGCTTTGCTTTAAAATATTATTAGTGGGTAATATGCTGGATTTCCAGTTTAAATCAAGCTACTTACTACAAAAACTTTCATTATCCATAATCGGTAATTTTGGGACACATGACACATGTGAATGTGACAAAAATTTTGTGCAAAAATTTCTCACCCATGCCCATGCACTGGTCCTAACCTCACGAATTTTGGATATGTTGTTAATTATGCCTTCATCTAACATTGGTATTTTCTTTTTTTAAACTTATATTTTCCACAAAAAAATTATTTACCATTAATTTTCAAAGTAAAACTTCAAACCATCAAATTTTTTCTAAAACTAAAAGGAAAGTGTCAAATGAACAAGAAACATGTCTGTTTTAAGTTGAGGGCAGAAGTAGAATTTGTTTTTAAAAAAATAACTTTAGCAAAAATAAGGTAATCCTAAACAACACTACCCTCGGTAAATTAAAAAGTGGAGATCGCCATTTTGACAACGAAATCACGATACCCGGTTTTCGGCACTTCCCGGATCATAATCATACCGAGGCCGAGGTCCTTACTAAAGACTAAAGGGTTAAATTAAGGTAATGAAATTTAAGCGCGAATAATTATTTCTAGTGATATAAAATTAAAACTTCCTTTTTACCTGATGGAACTAAAGACTTAAAATTGCATCTTTTTGTTCGAATATATCAACCATTTAACAAAATAGTACAAGATTTTTTTTTAAAATGTACATTTCATGATTCTTTTGTCATTTACGACGCCATTTCGGGAAAACAAGGATAACTCTTCTGTCTTCAAAGATACGTTATAAAAGTTGCCCAATAGGATATCTTTAGATTTAAATATTTTATTTTTTTTATTTTATAAATCTTTCTACTTTGTCTGATATTTCTTTCTAGCCCACTGGATCCATGCACAGCCATGTAAAGGTGGTACTCGCAAAGGACCTCAATATCAGGGGGTGCATTCGCCCAATGGACATTGGTCGCTCTCTGTTGTTGGTGAAATTCTATAACGTGGTCCATTAATAATTAAATTAATATTATTACTTTTCTAAAATTCAAATGAAAACAATAAATGTATCTAAATCATCTTGATTACTCTATTTAAAGAAAAAAAATTGATCTACGAAAGTGGCTTAAACAAAAAAAATAAAATTAGAAAGAAAAAAAACACAACCAAAAATAATAAAACTATGAATCTATGAAATAAGGAGTAAAAACACTTTAAAAAAAATTATCATACTATTATTGTTATCACACCCGGCTCCGAAGCCATTTAATCTATTTGAAGCCACTCCGGGTCCGAATAGTCTTTATGGCTATATGTACCCGGGTACCTGTAGGTGCAGCCTTTCGGCCTAAAAATATACTCTCAGTTTTATTTAAATTTATAGCTATGGCTATTAAGCAATCTTCTACATTGAAGTAAAATTTACGTAGTGGCCTGATTTAAAGCATTTCCTGAAGTTGCCTGCAAATGCAGTTCATCAACTAATCGTAAACGTATTATTATTAAGTTAAGCAATTAAAATATCTATATTGATATTCAGTTCAAATAAAATGATATTTAAGGGCAATAAACAGTTCCATTCGTTTTAAAACAAGAAATTTTAAATCATTGTGCCAACTGGCATACAATAACAAGCGATTTAGCGATTATGTTTCATGACATCGGGCGGCCTGACTACCAAAACTTGCTAAAAAGAACACATTTTTTTAAAAGTTATCATCTTAAAATTTTTAATTGGTATGTAGGCCTTTTAATAAATCAGTTGTTTTTTTTTTTTCTAAAAATATTGGTATCATTTTTAGAACTTGATAGTATATTAACACAATCAATGCGTCTGAATGCGAAACCGAAAAGACGTTGCCTTCACTTTTGACTTTGAATTTTATTCATTTTAAAATGTTTATCATCTGAAGTCTGAAGAGATCATATGTTTTGTTTATGACGTGGTCTCAGTAATTCATTTTAAATGATTTCATTAGTTTTAAGGATTTTTATTTTGGTTAATGTTACTGTTTTGTTAATTGTTGGACCTGACACTGACACTTCAACCTGACACAACCTGACACGAAGTGTCAATTACAATTGTTTTGGCTTTGGAGTGGTAGTAGTAGTAGTATAGAGTAGTAGTCAGTAGTATTTACAGTGAGTATTGGATAATTTCCAGGCCAATTGTTCCATTTTTCATTATTTTTTTATAGAAATATAGTGGGCACTCCTCAGAATGGCAGTCCTAAAAAATGTGAAATAATAGAATTCTTAATGTTTAAAAAGTGAATGATACTGAATGAGAATGGCCTAATGAAATAGCCGCCAGTATAACTCAATCCAACTAGACATCAGCAGACATACGATGCAAGTAGTTACCGGGTATACATTATTAGTAGGCCTACAATTTTGAGATGATATTGTAAAATTTTAGGAGGTCAGGGGTTAACAGATCTGCGAAAACAGACAAATATTTTAGCGGCCCACTGTCATGAAAATATGGCTCCTCCAAGTATAAAAAAAGGGCTGCCTGGGGCAGAATGCTTCTCTGACTCTATCCCCTTTTTCCTATTTCCATCTTTCTCAGAAACTATTAACCACTTCACGTGATGCACGATCACCCACTTTTATTTACCAAGGATGTCAAATTGTCGTCAGGCCTATTGACTAAGTCTAAGTATTGGTAGTCACTATCTTTAAATTACTAAAATAACTCTGACTGAAGTAGGTATGTGAAATTCTCACTTTTTACGTCACCAATAGAATAGAGAATGCTGCCAAAAAAATTTGTACCAACGTTTTAGGCAGGTCGTGGTGCACTTATTTCTAAAAAAAATTTTTGTTGTGTCTAGTCTTATTATTTCTCTCCTAATGGGATTTTCAATAAAAAAACTTATTTTTCTTTGTTTGTATATATTTTATTTTTATGTATCTTTCCTTATGGGTTCATGGTATTCTGTGCCGTTAAAAACAATGATTCTGCTTAGCATTGAAAAATTAAAGTATCTCGTGGTTCCTAGTTGTTAAATTAATTTATGTTATAGATGAACAAGTGACCCAATAATTGACATAACAATGACCTAATTGACCAATAATACCTATTATGCCTATCTCACACCAGAAAATTAATTGGAAGGGGGTCCCACGTTACCATGTTCCTAAACAAAAATTGGCCAAAGCATTTGTTACATCTGCTAACCCTTTCGATTTTTACGGAATTATACATATTTTTACCACTCATTCTAACAAACCCCTTAAAATTCTGATTTTTTTTTTCAAACTTTATAATTTTTCGCCCGTCATAAAAATCAGAAAGCAACAAAAAAAAAAAAAAAATCGGGTAGGACAGGAAGTGTTGCATTTGCTTTTATGGAGTGCCGACCGGGCGAATAAGTGAATAAATTCTCAAGATATTCACTTGGCTATTATTATATATTGGACCAAGTCACATGATCACCGTAACAAAGTTGTGTCAGCCTCGTCACGTGATCGCTGATTGTCGAACAGAGTTAACGGTACTTCATTTCAACAAATTCAAGATAGTCTGGACATTTACAAGAAAAAGAAATATGTTAAATTCTACAAAAGATATACTAGAACCATTGGCTGCCAGTCCGCGTCCGCATAGAGTACAAAATTGCAACTTTGTGCTAACGCTGCTTGCGTGACCTGGCACCGTCATATTTTAACACCCCCCCCCCCCCCCCCCACCCAAAATAAAATCATACAACTGCATCTAAAAGTAATCCATGTCTAATTTCTTTGCTAAGGAATCAATCAGACGATTCAGTTAGCAGATCGTTTATTTAACACCTTCCTCATGGAAGGAAATATTTCTGTAGCCAACTGCGATCTTTTTAATGCCAAAGTCAAAGAAATGTTTCTAGACTTGCAGAATGTAAGAAGATTGTAATGAAATATTACATTGAAACAAAAGGGCCCCACTTCCCGCTGCGTGCAACCCCTTACAGATTTTTTTTCTTGGTCGGTCTGCATCTTTTACCCTAATCACATTTTTATACCGTTTCATGTAACTAAAGCTAAAGTAAAAAAAAATTTCATATGCACACTTTGTAAGCAGTAAAACTATTATTATGGTATTTATTGACATATTTAGGCATTAGGCCTATATTTTAATCATAATAATTTATTTCTCGGCCTCAGCTGGGTTTTATTTTTCAGATGTGCACATATAACTTTTGAAAAAAAGGAGCTGGGTATAATTTTTCAGACTGATTCCTTTCCCCCCAGAATCACATATACATGTATATTAGATTGATATTATAAATTAAACTAATTAGCAATATAGAACTCTTTCTTGTTTTTAAGACAGCATTTTGAAACTCTTTTAAAGCTTGGATGGAATTGCCAAATATTTTGAAAGTAACAAAATAGCAATTTAAATCTCAAATTCTTTTAAGATTCATTATCGTTGTCACTAGTAAGAACTAGTAATAAATGAAAGGGGCATGTAAATAACTATTTGTTTAAGTATAAATGACCTTACATTTTTTCCTTTTTCTTTTGCATATAAGTACGGTACCATACTTAGAATGGTAATTGGTGCAATAAACCAATTGTTAAATTATTTGAATCCCATTACTGAATACTGGTACTAGTCTTTTAATACTGATGTGTCATATAAAAAAAAATATGTATATATATATATATATATATATATATATATATATATATATATATATATAAATATTATATAAATAAATAAATGATAGGGGAAGCTTAGCATAACCTTGATACAAATCTTGATGACATGTAAACAAAAACAGATATGAGTTTTACTGATCAGAGACTTCCTTAAATCTTTTCATTTTCAAAACTTTTAGCATTGCTTGCTTCACTATGAGAAACCTCATGTAATTTATATTTTTTTATTCCATTTTATAGGACCTGGAGAGAGGAGTGTGTCCTCTGTGTGGAGCAACCCTATGATGCCTTGTCTTATATTCATACTCACATAACCCAGTCTATTCTAGTATAAAGCAGTGGAAGCAGTCAGATGTGTACAGAGCATGATCAATTTGTTCCACTGATCTTTGTAAATAAGAATAACTACCGGTACCATAAAGAGCAGTTGTGTAAGTCAGTTCCATTGTGACTACACTTTGAGTCTCATCAGGTGAGAGTAGATTAACATGGCTGAAGAAGAGCAAGTGCAGTACCACATAGAAATCCAGGACGCTTCTGGGTTTGATGCCATGGATGGAGAAGTCATGGTTGTTTTAGATCTCAATGGCCAGGATTTACCAGCAAGCGTTGCTCAAACAATTATGGAGCTGGCTCAAAACAGTAGGCACAACCTAACGACCGTAATGAATGATCATGCAGATGTTAAATTTATCACGCAGGATGCGCAGCAAATAGCTGAGTTTTCTAGTGAAAACAGCATTGAACAAGTCAAGTTGGAAGATATAGATATGTTTGACCAATCTAAAGAGGGGGCTCATAATTTACTGCAAGATATTGACCTGGAGAAAGTCAATGTAATCGACTCCGAAACACAGGAGACAAAAACCCGGTATTTGGTTCACAACCTGGCAGAGCTTGAGAGGACAAAAGTGGGAACCACCTACAAACCCAGGAAATCAACTTCCAAAGGAGCAGGTGGAAAAAAGGTGGAAAGGCTGCCTCCACTCATTAATGAAATTACTCCTAAAGTGGAGGTAGGGGTTCAGTGTGAGCTGATCAATATAAAAGAAAAGAATGCAGATGAGGAGGAGGATGGGAAAGTCATTAACGATTGCGCTGCACCCGATCACATAGGTGAAAGTTGCAAGGGCGATGAGTATATAAAGAGTATTAAAACGGAACCTCTTTGGGCAGAGGATAGTAGACAAGGAACAAACCAGCCTGCCGTGCCCGAAGAAGCTGCCGTCGTACCTCAAGAAAAGACCTGTCTCCAGTGTTCTTATACTTGTGATGATGACCTAGATCTAGGGAGGCACATGAGGAAAGTCCATAAAGAGAAAAAACCTTACACATGCTCTGTTTGTAATACCTCATTTGAAATTGAACTAAGTTTACAGATTCATGCACTGATGCATTCAGGTGCAAAGAGGCCAGCAAGCAAGTGGAAAAAAAAGAAGAAACTAAATTATGTGTGTCCTTTGTGCTCCATGCTGTTTTCCACTGTCAAAAAGTTATGTTCTCATGCTGAAAGTGAGCACAAGCTTCCCACCATTCACACGTGTGACACTTGTAAGTTTGCATGTTTGTCTAAAAGTGAATTATCTGAGCACAACATAACCTTAGACCATGTCAAGAGAGCCAGCAAGATATCTGTTTGTCCGGTGTGCAATGTAGCTACTTTAAAAATGACGGCACATCTGGCCAAAATGCACCCAGAGCATCGGCCACACATTTGTCATATATGCAGTTTTAAAAGTAAATCGGTGACTGGTCTGAAATACCACATTCAAACTCATGTGGAAACCAAGAATTTCATTTGTCCAAAATGTGGGAGGGCTTGTAAGTCGAAAATTGTTCTCAAACGGCACATTAAAAATCACGACCCAGTTAAAAAATTTCAGTGCTCTCTCTGTCCATTCGGCACCAATGAAAGCTATGAGCACAAACGTCACGTTCGTCGGGTACATTCTAAGAAGACTTACTACAGCTGCAAACACTGCGATTTATCTTTCTTACAAGTATGTGATTTGAAACTTCATGCAATGTCTGAGCACCAATCAAGAGACTCTTACTTCTGTAACTACTGCGAGTTTTCTTGTGAAACACGAATTGAACTGAAAACCCATGTTCAGACCCACACTGGTAAACATCGGTTTCTCTGTGAGACCTGTGATTTTACAACTCCGTTTAGAGCCCACTTGGAAAGGCACAGGAATACGCACACAGATATTCGCCCCTACAAATGTCCCATCTGTGGATACGAATGCAGAGAAAATATTAATTTGAAGAAACATATGGTAACACATAGTGATGAGAAACCATTTTCATGCTCATTGTGTCCATACACTTGTAAGCTAAAAAATCTTTTGGACAGCCATATACGTATTGTACACACCAGCCTCAAGCCATATTCCTGCAATGCGTGTCCTTATCGTGCCAAAACTTCAGGTAACCTGAAAAAACACATGTGGATACATCAACAATACAAGCCCTACCAGTGCAGATTCTGTACCTACACGGCCAGAGAGAAGAACAAATTGGCGAGGCATGAAAAAACAAAGCACAAGGATGGAGTAGAAGAAGACTTTCAAAAAGCTGGAGAAGAATCAAATTCACAAACTATAGAAGACTTCAGTGAACATGTGATTTATACAGTAAAAACCTAGTTGAAAGTTTGTCTTCATAACTTACTTTAGTAAACCAGATATCTTATTATTTTGCACAATTTATATCAATTTAGACTGTGACTATTTGGATTTTTCATGAGTGATTGGGTCATTACTTGGCAAGGTTTCAACTACTGGTATGTATGTTGTATTCATGATTGCAATCGGCGCTGAGACTAAAACTGCTAAAACAAGATATTTAAGAATGGCGGCAACAATCTTATACAATTCTTAGCTCAATAGGTTTATCTGTCTTTCTTAGTAGAAGGAAGTGAGTCGTGTTATTCATAGTAATCATAGTATCTGTTATTGGTTTTGTTGGGGGTAAAAGGGGGATTATGAGGGAATATAGTGAAGAAGTAGGGTTTTTTTTTAACATGATATTTCTAGTTGTCTGCTGCTTATCAAGTGACCCTGACCGCTTCACATCCATGGTGTTACAATGCACTTTATTTATTTGAACATACATTAACGATTTAAACAATTAGAATTAGGGACCACTTATTTTTGTAATGTTACAACCTTGGAGGTTAAGCAATTTTACAAAGGTTTAATTTGATTTCCTTTCAAGTACCCGGTTTATTAAACATTGCAACATTTGGTGCAGATGTTTCCGAGCTACTAGTAATGAAATTTTTAATGAAAATTCACTACATTAAATGAACTTATATTAATTAATTAGTGTCAGTGAATTTTGAATTGCAATCCCTATTCTATTTCCAGACATTATTTTATTTAATTATAAATGGTAAATTCCTGTTTATGTTGTTATTAGCGACTTAGTTGAACATTGTAATTTATGAGACTAATTATTTTTTTAATAAATGTTTGTTAAGAAAGAGATTGCAACTACCGGGTGTGTTAGGTAAATGTATATTGTGTGACTCTGTGAGTCGCTGATGGACGATGATATCATACTGAATTTTTGCTGCACTAAAAGAAATTGTGTTTCTCATCTCTAAATATTATTATAATTATTGAAACTCTGAAAATAAAAGTACTGATGAACTCATTTAATGGGCTTTTTCTTTTTTTTTTTTTTTTTTTTTTTTTTTTTAGTTTTCCTGACTAATGATGAAAAATATGAAAAAAAGATCATTATTATTATGAATTTGTAATTTTATTCAATTTTATATTTAATTTCTTGTAAAAAAAAAAAAAGAAGACACTTATAAAGTATAATGCTTTGCTGGGATATTTTTGCAATTAATAAAAAAAAAAAAAGACGACACTTATAAAGTATAATGCTTTGCTGGGATATTTTTGCAATTATTTAAATTATTTTCAATATGTGAAATAAGAAAAATTAAAAATATACAGCTGGCATTGTGTGTATTATAAAGTTCACTGATAAATGGAACTCATCGATAAAGACACTAATGGTATCTCTGTAGATCCTGTTATTGTCAACTTAAATAGAAAACTTGAAATAGATCTTTAAAAATGTGTATTTTAGTTGACAATATTGATCCACTCAACCTAGAGATATTTAAAAAATAATAATCCAGTCTTCATCATATCTTTTTTAACTGGACCCCCCTGTTCTCTTCATTGGGCATTTAAAGTCATCTTTTTCTCTTATCATTGTTAGTACAAAGATAATGTCAAAATTTATCATGTAAACTATTGTTATCATTGTTATTAATATGTATTTCTTTAATTGTAAAGATGTTACTAATCCTTTTACAAGGTAAAATAGAAATTACATGATTATGATGTACAGGGTGTGGAGCTGTTTGCTTTATATACTTAATAATAAAATGCAAATTAATATTTTTCAAAGAATTTTAATTTAATGTTTGAACACAAGTAATAAGTAATTTGAATTATTGTTACCAATAAATTCAGCTGGGTCTGTTTGTGACCTTTTAATTTTAAGTCAAGTTGCGGCAGATTTAAAGTCAGCGTCCCATGTAGAAAGCGAACCTTGCCACAAATATTTTAATGACTCAGCATAAAAACAATGGAGTTTCATTTTATTACCCCTATGTTAGTAATAAGAAATTAAGTGATAAAACTGACACAGTTGCTGTGTGCTTTAGAATAAGGAGCTCTAATGTTAGTGGACAAGTAACAATGACTAACAATGCAGCCAGTGTCATATTCTGATTCGGAGCTCCACAACTGTGGAACACTGGTGTGCAGCGAGAAGGTCTCAGGTGTGCCATGCGAAATGCCTCCAAGCGGAGGGAAGCACAGAGTATATGTAGGCACATTGGTGTGATTGAACCGTGTTGGTAAAAAAAAAAGAGACATTGATGATTGAGTAGCATACAGTAAAATGTCAAACATTGTGATACCACAAATGTGTATAATAGAGACAGTTTAAACTGAGCAATTCAGTGTAATCTGATACCTTTCAGCATTATATAAAAAAAAAGACTTTGGTGCTGGTTGGAGATGTCACTAGTGCAATGTCACTACTTCTCTGGGTTGGAGATGTCACTAGTGCAATGTCACTACTTCTCTGGGGTACCAAACAACCATAAATTAAATTTAGACCTTTTAAAAATAAGGAATGTCTATTTTATAATTTATATTCGGCCTTGAATAAAGGCCCAGTATTTATGTCTAAAGTCTTTAGTAGTGGTATACCAGTACAACATCATGCTTTTTTAGTAATTTTAGCTAGCAAAGAACTATTGATGGATTCATCACAATTGACTGCAGTGGTTCATGTTTGAAATGAGCCAATACCTCAGTACCAATGACCAATTCGCTTTCTAAGAATTAAAAATGTTGGAAATTACCTCACTTTTTTTTCTTGGTAGATTGGAACCGGTAGGTAGCAGGTACTTACATTATTATAGTATAGGTATCAGCTAAGTAAATTTGACTTCTTGTGATCAAAAACATGGAATATTATTTACTATTAAGGAGGGTTGTCCTGGATTGTAACTGTCCAACACATCAGCCCTAAATTAAATCAGGCAAACATCATTGAGAAAGAGAATTTTAGTAGGCTAATTGTTGCCACATTTATTGAGATGAATGCATCTACCAAGTTATTAAGCGTGTAATTATAATTTAGGAATAAAAATAAATATTTTGGGGAGAAAATCATAGACCTGACGCCAAACAATTGCTTTAAAGTCAATTTCTGGGCTTTACCTCTTCTTCTCTCCCCCTCCCCCGGGGCCCAGTTTGCATACATTTTAAAGTGTTAACATTCATAGCTCCTGACAATTATTTACGATTTTTCTAAAAATATTGGTACCGGTAATTTAAACAAAAATCACACAAAATCACTAGGTCTGTTTAAGTAGGTCAATTTCATTATAATATTTATTTCCTACTGGTCGTTACGGTACTACACATTTGATCGAACTGAAGTTTGGTCGATTTTTATTCTTCAGTTTACACGATCTAATTTTGCATCAAATTTCTTTTTCAACGCATTATTTTTTTTTAACTATATAGTATAGTTCAAAAAGAAATTTGACAAAAATTTGAATGTGTAAACTGAAAAAAAAATCAATTCGATCAGGGTAATAAGTAAGGGGAGAGACTGCAATCAAGTTAGCACAATAGGTAATTACTAAATTCGTAAAATAAAGTAAGGTTAAACCCAGACCTGTTTACCCCCAAACTCTTAAAATCGTACAGTATCATCACAAAATCGTTCAATACAATATCTTAATAGTAAAAAAACACAGTGTATATAATGCATACACCTCAAAATCGTACATTTACGCCAAAATCGTAAGAGTAAACAGGTCTGTAAACCTGAAAAAAAGCAACGCAACAAAACGACGAACGTGTCGATAGGAAGCCTTCGTCAGCGAACAAATAGAAAAAATATAAAATGAGTAAAACAGAGTAAGGGTTAAACATGAAAAAAGGAACGCAACAAAACAACGAACGTGTCGGCAGAAAGCCTTCGTCAGCGAACAAAACAACAGAAAGAACGGTATAAAAATAATAAATAGCACTTAGTCTTAGCTTAGAAGTAGTATCCGTGGGCAGAAAAAGAAATGTGGTTTCTTTTATATTACCGATACTTTAAATACACCTATTCACCATTACTTACTATTAGTATTAGTAATTACTAATACAACATGTATTTTCAGTTAACTCGGATACTCTCTCTTTGATCTTAGAACTCGGTAAGATTCAGATTACAGTTGCCACCTTGAACTTCCGGCACGCTGAAACTAATACAAATGTCAGTAGTTTCCTAAATTCTTAAACGTTTTCAATCTAAATATATTTTTTTAATATTTGAAAAAAATGAAGTGGCATTTTAAAAAAGTTAGATTTAACTTCAGAAAAATCGTTTTGTTTAAAAAAATATGTATTTATATCAAAGCTTTTTTTTTAGCTTCATGGTAATTAGACTGTCCTGGCTATATTGTCCTAATAATTTTAAATTTTGAGGTTTTGTTATCCTACATTAGAATATATTTGAATGAGAGAAGGTATGATAATATACAATTATAAAGTGACCATGTGATAATAAAACTCAGTGCACTCACTTAGAATTAGAAGCGTGGTCAGCTTTGTCTTATTACATTCAATATGTAAATAAAAATGATAATCAAATGACTGTAAGTGTATCTGAATCTGTCTTTGTAACAACTTTGTACACCCGTCATTCAATTTTAAGATTTTTGACAGCTCTCTCTTTCTTTTTTAAAATATTTTTTTTAACAATCATAACTCTGAAAATAATTGAATTGAATTTGTTGGGGCGGTAAACAATGGGGACGCCTGCCACTATTCACTATTTTATCGAATTTCACGAATGTATATCCCTAAATCGATCCCTGCCCTGCCCTATGACCTATGCCTTACCTCAATCCTAAATCGATCCCTATGCCTAACCTGAACCCTAAATCGATCCCTATGCCTAACCTAAACCCTAAATCGATCCCTATGCCTAACCTGAACCCTAAAATTGATCCCTCAACCTAACCTAAACCCTAATTCACTGCAACTATAATAAACACACAAAAGACGCCGTGGCAGCCCTCCTCGGTTTTAGCCCTTGGGGCAAATTTTGGATTGGGGGCGTCCATTAAGTCAACAATTTTTAAGCAATTTTTATCACCCCCTGTTAACAACTGTCAAACTTTTAATCAATGGATTCCCCCCTCCCCGTAATATGTCAACATTTGGGTAATTTTTGGGTTAACGGTATGGGTTTGGCCAAGATTTGTCGCACCCTAAGTTCAGTGACGTCACTTTGAGTCTTTGAGGAATCCCAAAACTGGGGTGAATAGACTTATTAATTAAATTCCGAGCGATGCGTGTGAGTGTGATAACATTCCTTTTCTTTACTGAGCATTACTTGCGTCACAAACGATGCTGTTAATATGAAGGATAATAAAGTGGAATTTGTCATTACTTGATATTAAAATTCAACATACACGTTTCAAAAGAAAGCAAAATAGAAACATATGGACATATCCTTGGTGATACACCAAGCCCCAACACCAGTGAAAAAAAAGACGCACGCCAAAGGTGCTGTATTTTAAGTAGTTAAAAATCCCCAGAACCCCAATTTCAAAAAGAAAACAAAAACTTGCATTATGTAACTACAAACTAGGTACCGGTACTTCACTAAAAATTTCAAAGTTGTCATATATTAATGAAACGTATATCGTTAGAGAAAGGACTCAGTATTTCCTTTCCATTGATACCAAGTTTATCTTTCTATCTTAATTAGAAAAAAAGTTATCAGATTTTTAGTGTCAGAATTTTTCCTTATATAGCCTTAGTCTAAATAATTTCCAAAATTCTGTGATAAAAAAAGACATCCTTGACACTCAAAATGCAATAAATTTTTAGTCAGCAAAGTTAAAGCTCTGAAATTTACAATGCATTTCAATTAACTATTACTATTAGGCTTTAATAATAAATCATTGTTATGCAAATACTACAATAAATATATTAATGCGTGGGATTTGAACAACAGACCGTAAGTAAATTTCATTAAAAATGTTCTCAATACTCAAAATGTTATAACTTTTTTACCTGTAAAGTTAAAGTCTTCAAATTTTTAGCACAGTTTAATTAGGTATTGGGCTTTTATAATAAGCCATTTTCATATTAATATTTTAACTAATGTATTAGTGCCTTGGAGTTGAACAACAGAGGGTTAGTAAATTTCATTAAAAATTTAGCGCCTGTTCTCAATTCTCAAATGCCATAACTTTTTAAGTTAAAGCCTTCAAATTTTCAGCATAGTTTAATCAGATATTGGGCTGTAATAATAAGCCATTTAAATATTAATTCAATAATAAATGAATTAAATCAGTGGCATTTGAGCAACAGAGAGTAAGTAAATTTAATTTTAAAATGTAGCCTGTTTGTGCATTAAAAATACAAATTGCATAAATATTACCAATTCAACCTATTGTGTTAATGCACACAATCATCTAGTAAATTAATATTAATACTGTGAATAATTCCACAGAAAAGATTTATAAAATAATGTATAATAACGGATATGGATAATTGGCATTGAAAAATGCAGATCACATATGTTAAATCCAATCATCCATGATCCAATCCATGAAATTGATAATCCAAGTAGCCATGCTATTTGAAATCTACAGTACAAATGATGATCACACTTAATATTATATTAGTACTTCTTTAGTTCATTGAACGGCTGAATAAAAGAGATATATTTTTTTTCATAGAAAGATGATGGTCAAAAGTAGTGTGTTGGTCGAGTCCATGGCATTCTTGATTAAATTTGTAACAGTTATAGATATCATTGGTAATGATTCAGTTTATGACACAGATGAATGGAGTCCTGAGTGTAGATACCATTGGTAATGAATGGTTTTCCGAAATGGTTTATTTTGTGTCAATATTGTTGCTTCCACCCATGATGATGATAAATAGGAGTCCTGAGTGTATAAATTGCCATATAAATGCAGTAGGTGATGAAAAATAACAATAGCTGTTGATATTAGGCTCTGGTGGTCCATATTTTGGTGGATTATCCAGTTGTACATGCAGTCACACCTGATAGGTTTTTGTTAAAATTTTTATCCCCCCATTGCACACGTACGTTTTTGGATACCCCACCCCTCAAATGACTACATGCAAAAATGAAATCAAATAATTTATACATAATTGTGATGTCACAGAAATAAAAAAAATGTCACGGGCTTATACCGCTGACCGTTCGGCCAGCCCAGTGGTTCCCATAATATACGCTGTGTTGCTCTGGGTGACACACCACCCTCAGACAGAGCCACGAAAATGGGGCAAAGAAGTAGTCACACAGAGCACCAACATCATGGGTGTCAAAGACACATAAGTCGTTCATAGTGAAATAAAATATAATATCCCATATTCTTCAGAAAGACAAGGGGTGCCAAAAATTATCTTTTTACTGGTCCGCCACAGGGGGAGAATTTGTTTCTATATATTAAGTGGCACCATTTTTCAGCTCCGCCCCTGTTCTGGGTTGCTTCAGCTCTCTTACAGTAACCTACAGGACACCACAAAATATTTAAATTTTCATGATGTCATTTCCTCTTTTCACCCAATGTGACATCTAGTGGTCGTGGTGCCAACACTTTGATTACAGTTTTCATGATGTCATTTCCCCTTTTCACCCAATGTGACATCTAGTGGTTGTGGTGCCAACACTTGAGTACAGTTTGGAGTACCGGTAACTTGATTTTTACCCAAAACTTTATTTTATTTTGTTTATTTTTTCACTATGTTAGAATTTAACAAAGGGCGGCTGGTGAAAGCCTAAATTTGGCATAGGTGCCAGGAATAAAAAAAATTGAGGAACCACTGGAACAGACGAGGGGGAGGGGGGGGGGAAGTCACACACATGTTGAACATATGGGGGAAGATATATTACTATAGCAACTACTGAGTTTAATTTGAGCAATATCTAATGAGTTCATTTTTTAAAACGTGGCAAAATTTTGACGATAATTCCTAAAAAAATTGACAGCATATCGAGATAAATGTGCTATTTTTGGACTGTCCATATTTCAGGATGATTATTTTTGAATATTTTTACAAATAAACGTACTTTCTGCTTTTAAATTTTATTACCTCTGTTTGGTTGCAACACTTTTATTCCTTTCACCCATTTACAGCATGTGATAGTTATCAGACTATAATCTATTAGCTGGAATTAGGTTTAATGGATGTCGATTCTTTTTTTTTCTTTCTATTCTTACCTATCTCTTCCATAATTATAAATCTCTAGTTACTTGGTAGGTTTTTTAAATGTCGCCCTAATTTGTTAATTAATTGTTATTTTAATCAATTTTATCTTATGCTTATCTGACTACAAGTACAAGCTTGAACAACATTAAATTTCACCATTAACTATTAACTTTATTTTTAGCATACCAGTGACAGACTATGATATTGTGATCTGTACATTCACTCACTCATATCAATTGCAAATACAGCAAATACACATCTGCAAAACAAAATGACCACCGATTGCCGTATATTCATTGGTCATCTATTTATAGAAGTTACCATTTTTATACCACCTTAAATCGATCCCACTAGACACGCGATGCGAGTAGTTATTGTATACTGTAGATATACTGGGTGCTCATTTTTTTACTATAAAGATACTGTATTGTATGATTTTGGAGTTAGAGGGTAAACAGGTCTGGTCATAGTTTAAATAAATGTTAAACATGTTATTCTTATATGTATAGTACCGGTAATAGAAATAACTAGCCCTAATCATGCCTAATGGGAAACAGATTATATATCTTAAGTCTTTATCAACATATTCATGTTTTTATCAATATATATTATACTGACCAGTAGCCATCCCATAGTCAGAGTCTTGTATTTCAGAATAGATTAAGCCAGGGGTTCTCAACCTTTTGTATTTTCAACAGCGCCTCATAATTGTTTGACTAAGTTAGCTAAGTCTCTATCTAGTGCTATGTCTGGAAAACCCTGCAAATTGTTTGAAATATTCAATGAATATACTAGTACTAGCTTGCATGCTTAAAACAGTTACTAAGCCAGACTACGCCTTTAAAAATTTTAAAAATAGTCGGCTTCTAACTTTTGTTGTTGAATTTAGGAAATTTCAAAGAGAACTGAGGATTAAAAAAAACAAAACTTCTGGCTTTGGCTTACCAATTAACTACTAATTACTTACATAAAGTATAACCAATGTTAAAAAAAGAAATGTACTTATATAGTTGATATAGGTATAAGCATAGCCCAAACATTTCTTTTAAGTAATCAAAGGCTGCTCTTATAATATAATCAATTTTCCTTGCATCCCCTGAAATCCCACCACATAGCCCCTGGGGTGAGAGCACACAAGTTTGGGAATCCCTGGATTAGGCCTAGTTTATTGATTAGACTTCATATTTGTTTTAAAAGAATTGGTACTTGTCGTCCTTTTCTTCTGGAACTGTAAATCTCTCTGCCCCAAGTAGCTTCATTAAATGGTAGCAATTAAATAAGGGCTAGGCTTACTATTAGTAGTACTAGTACTATTACAGAGGGGATTGAGTGGTCATCCCATTCCAATAGATACTAGAGCCTGTAGGGCATATTTAAAATGTTGTGAGCTACATTACATAGATAAATGTTCTAAAATCATGACGCATCTCTGCCTCAAACTATTTGATACTGATAAGGGCATCAGTGACTTTCAATACTATATTTTTGAGAATTTTTTCAAATGTATCCTAATGAGTCCTGTAAAGTGCAACAAAAATGCTGCTGTTATTGAGAAAAAAAATAAAATTTGATTTGAAAATCTCAAGGCAATTTTTACCAATGTTTATTTATTTTTTTTTTTTCATTTTCCTCAGATAAGCAATTCAAATGATGTCTGCATTACAAATCTGAGACAAGAATCGCCAAAGTTAATTAAGCATGGAAGTTACTGATGTTAATGAAATTTTGTGAACATTTGTTTTTAAATGTTTGTACCAGCACAAAGGAGGAGGAGCTTGATTGAATTAATTCCCAGCATACATATCTAAAATATCAATTTATATTAAAAAAATGGCATTGTCCAGCCAGGAAAGAAATTGTGCAGATTACCTCTCTAATGCTGTCCTAATGGGTGAGGATATTTTTTCCAGTTTAAGTTTGGATGGGGCAAGCTTGTTAGAAAATCTGATTAAAGTCAACCAGTTTCTAAGTCAGCATCCGCACATTGTTGTCACTAAATATGAAATCCATGTGAATGTCGTCGATAATTACCTGAGTCACAGCGATGTCCCTCAAGGGCATTATTACATCATCAAAGAGGGTGATGACGAAGTGGAAGATGAGGTTTCTAAGAAACAAAATGAAATGGTCATACCCATTACAAAGAAAGAACATGATGCAGAAGATTCTTTGATATCATCAGCCCATTCTGAGATTATCACGGACAGGGCTGAAGCTAAGCCTGAGCAAGTCCTGACAGTCAGCACACACCCACTCACCCCTGCTCTTTCAACAGCTAATCCCATTCCTCCTCTCAAGAAACTTAATTCTGAACCCATCCAGACAGAAGAATTATGTTCTGCCCTGAAAAACACCACCGATATCAATGTCAATGAAGGAGAAATGTTGTTTCAGACCTCAATAAAAAACAATCATGAAATACGGACTCAAGAATATCCAAAATCAAATCTTGCAGAAACTGTTAGAAAGATCAAAGTTGAAGAGCAGGACCCGAAATCCCACAGGTGTAAATTGTGTAATACGACCTTCCAAAAAGCTGAGAGCCTGCTTGTCCATGAACTGACCCACATCACACTGGTCACTGACATCAGGCATAATAATTTCTGTTGCCCCCTCTGTCCTTTTAAAGCTGGGGGCAAGAGAAAAATAAGAAGTCATATAATTGCCAAGCACTGCATCACTCGTCTGTACTGGTGCCATCATTGTAAGTTCGTAGGTACTTCGTCGAGCCAGCTTGTCCATCACAGATCACAGCAAGAACACAAAGACGCAATTTCTAAACTGAGCGCCGCCAAGACACACAAGTTTCTGTGCGCCCAGTGCGGCTACCTGGCCATCAGCCCGGCCGGTCTGAGGAACCATATGGTTGTTCACCAGGATAAGAAAAATTTCACCTGTCCAGTCTGTTCACAAACTTTTAAAACGGAAAAAAATTTGGACATCCACAAAGCGATACACAGTACTGTCAAACCTTTCCTTTGTACCTTTTGCCCCTTTTCTACCCACAGAAGGGCGCACCTCAACAAGCACGTCAGCAACACTCACCTTGATGTTGGCAAATATAAGTGTAGGGTGTGCCCGATGGCGTTCAGGCAGATGCTGCTGCTGAAAGAGCACGCTCAGTCAGAGCACAAGAGTGAAGATGGCTACTTCTGTGCCCGCTGCACATTTTCCTCCAAAGATAGAGAGAAGTACAAACAGCACATTCAGATTCACACTGGAGTTAATCTCTACTGCTGCAAGATATGTGGCTTCACTGCGGCTCAAAGAGGTCAGGCTAAACGGCATGAGCTGACTCACAGTGCCGTTTTGCCTTTCTCGTGCCCCATCTGTGGTCGAAAGTTTCGCGTGAAAAGAAGCCTCGTCAACCATATTACGGTCCACCAAAATGTCAAGAAGTTGCAGTGTGAGCTCTGTCCATACAAAACTAAGTCAACGCTGGTGTTGAACAGGCACATGGCACTCCATAACCAGCAGAAGATATTACGCTGTGTTCTCTGCGAGTACATCACGAAACATCGAGGAAACTGGCATAAGCACATGAAATTACATTCCACCAATAAACCCTATGTATGTGATATTTGCAATTACTCTTTTAAATTTGAAGAAAGTTTAACCAGGCACAAGACCGCCAAGCACAATGCCATTGTCTGATGGCCAGCCAGGCACAGTGCCATTGTCTGATGGCCAGCCAGGCACAATGCCATTGTCTGATGGCCAGCCAGGCACAGTGCCATTGTCTGATGGCCAGCCAGGCACAGTGCCATTGTCTGATGGCCAGCCAGGCACAGTGCCATTGTCTGATGGCCAGCCAGGCACTCACGGTAACAGACTACCGGTCGGTCCGTGTATGCCATTGTCTGATGGCCAGCCAGGCACAATGCCATTGTCTGATGGCCAGCCAGGCACAGTGCCATTGTCTGATGGCCAGCCAAGCACAATGCCATTGTCTGATGGCCAGCCAGGCACAATGCTATTGTCTGATGGCCAGCCAGGCACAGTGCCATTGTCTGATGGCCAGCCAGGCACAGTGCCATTGTCTGATGACAATCCAAGCACAATGCCATTGTCTAATGACAATCCAAGCACAATGCCATTGTCTAATGACAATCCAAGCACAATGTCATTGTCTGATGACAATCCAAGCTCAATGCCATTGTCTAATGACAATCCAAGCACAATGCCATTGTCTGATGACAATCCAAGCACAATGCCATTGTCTGATGACAATCCAAGCACAATGCCATTGTCTGATGACAGTAACTGTGAAAATCCTGTTACCTAGTTCTGTGTTAATTTCTTAAGGTACTGAATTTATGAGTCAGTGGTGATGCCTTCCATAAGTTGTGCTGCCTAAATAAAATTAAAATTATGTTATCGGCTTATGTCATGGATTTTTTTGTGTGTATGTAAATGTATGTGTTTTTTATACCATACCAGTTGTTCCTATTTATATTCAGACATTGAATTTGAATGTTTCAAATGAATGTGTGATTTAACGTTTAAAACAAGTAGGGCAGTAAACTGTAAAAGTAAAGAACTGAAGCCGTCAGCCAGTCTATCTATCTGATTAACATCTATTTTCAGTAGTGGGCCTTTCAGAAAAGACACCTGGTAACCTTCTTCAGCATATGAACTCCCTTAAGTGCTTGTGGATTTGCTTGGCAAAGTTGCTCAAAATATTTTACTTTTGCTAACAAAAACACATTTGACCAATCAACACGGGTCAAAAAATAACTATCTCGGTACCTGGTATGGTATATAATTTCTAACTACCCGGTATAGCTGACGTTCTACTAAGAAACTTTTCAATGTAAGGAGTTCTGTTAAAATCAACTGCTTACAGATAGGGTTTTCAATTGAGAACTATAGCTAATTACCAGTATATTTATCAATAAATATTTGCTTTCTTTGTATTGTAAATTCTCAATGATGTCATGCTGAAATTATTCAGAAGAGTCAAAAAGTTATTTTCTCCACACATTTGTTTTCTAATTCTAATACTCAGTAATACCTGTACTGACTAATATCTTAAGGTATTCTATTTTCATCAAAGTTAAAGACATCACTTGTTGCACCAACCTCAAATAAATATGAAACAAAAATAGCAACACCTCCCCCCCCCCCCCCCCCCCCTTTTCCCTTTTATGAAAGCAATCCTTTATAATTTATAATATAATTATATTCCTTAGTCTTATTTTTATTTACAAATTGGCAAGAGTAAGTATGAATTCCTTGACAGCCCACACCAGCCTGATGGTGTACTGATTGCACTAATGAAGTGAAGGTTTGCAATCTCTGGGGAGAAGTAGAAGTTCCGGGTCCCATGCATACTTCATTACCGGTATTTGTTTAAGTGACGCTACCCAGAAGTCAGTGATCTTTTTATTTTTTTTAAAATACCGGTAACGGGTAACAGTACCGTATAAAATGAACTGTTAAAACTAGCAAAAGTAGAAGAAGAATTGTCAAACTTTGAAAGATTGACATATCCACCCATTTCTATTATAACGGTACTTACCATTCTTTAGGATTGGCGGGACTTTGATACATTTGGGCTCAGTTTAAAAAAAAAAAAAACTTAGCTTGGGACCCAGTATAATGAAGTGGAGCATTACTCTTAGTAGTCTTAGACAATATCATTTACTTTTACAACTTTTTAATATATAGATATATATAATCGGTTCTTGATATATGATGGCTTCCCTTGACTTGGCCTTTCTCCGTCTCCCTCGGTTCAGGCCAGTAAGCTGGAAGTGGTACCGGTACTATTAATATAGCCTACCCACATAAGTGAACGTCACTAGAATGCCAGAGAAACACCAGGACATTGACGCCTGAATGAACAGACAAAAAATCTTAAGAAAGACCGCATTCGCATAATCACGTGATGTTGTTGCCGTGGCCGATATATCACGATGGAAGAATTGTGGCTGCTACACGGCTAGGAAGATACGTTACGGTTGCAGAATTATGGCCACTGGGAAGATATGTTACGGTGGAAGAATTGTGGCGGCTAGGAAGATATGTTACGATGGAAGAATTGTGGCTTCTACACTGCTAGGTAGATATTTACCGTACGATTGTTGCAGAATTGTGGCGGCTAGGAAGATATGTTCAGATGAAAGAATCGTTGCTGCTAGGAAGATATGTTACGATGGAAGAATTGTGGCTGCTAGGAAGATATGTTACGATAGAAAAATTGTGGCTGCTAGGAAGATATGTTACGATGGAAGAATTGTGGCTGCTAGGACTAGGAAGATATGTTACGTTTGCAGAATTGTGGCCACCGGGAAGATATGTTACCATGGAAGGTACTGTGGCATATGTTTTACAGTGGAAAAAAGAAGCTAATTTAATTTTATGAACATGTATAACGACTCGAAAAGGGCGAATGGAAGATTATCATTGGTTGCTGTTCCAGTTGGTGAAATGCAGTAAATGAGGGAATAAAATAAAGCCAGAAAACTCGTGAAACAAATCCCTAGGCCAAAAAGCACCAGCAGTCGAGTTTCTCATTCAGATAGTGCACCTGAGATTCCAGGATCATGCACCCAAGATTCCAGCAGCATGAAAAAAAGACTGTCATTCCAAGATCATGCACCCAAAACGGTTTATGCCAGGATCGTGTTTTTTAGGACTGCCATCCCAAGATCATGCCCCAGAAACTAATATTCCAGGATCAAGCACCAAAGACTGCCATTCCAAGATCATACGTCCAAAACGGTTTATGCCAGGATCTTGTTTTTTAAGACTGCCATCCCAAGATCATACGTCCTAAACGGTTTATGCCAGGATCTTGTTTTTTAAGACTGCCATCCCAAGATAATGCCCCAGACACTGTTATTCCAGGATCATGCACCAAAGACTGCCATTGCAAAATCATGCCCCTGAGACTGCTATCGCAGGATAATGCCACTGAGACCGCCATTCCAATATTATGCACCAAAGACTGCCATTCCACGCTCATGTACCCGAGACTACCATTCTAGGATCATGACCATGAGACTACCATTCTAGGTTCATGCCCCTGAGACTACCATTCTAGGATCATGACCATGAGACTACCATTCTAGGATCATGACCATTAGACTACCATTCTAGGATCATGCCCCTGAGACTGCCATTCTAGGATCATGACCATGAGAATACCCTTCTAGGTTCATGCCCCTGAGACTACCATTCTAGGATCATGACCATGAGACTACCATTCTAGGATCATGCCCCTGAGACTCTGATCCTAGGATCATGACCATGAGAATACCCTTCTAGGTTCATGCCCCTGAGACTACCATTCTAGGATCATGCCCCTGAGACTACCATTCTAGGATCATGCCCCTGAGACTACCATTCTAGGATCATGACCATGAGAATACCCTTCTAGGTTCATGCCCCTGAGATTACCATTCTAGGATCATGACCATGAGACTACCATTCTAGGATCATGCCCCTGATACTACCATTCTAGGATCATGACCATGAGACTACCATTCTAGGATCATGCCCCTGATACTACCATTCTAGGATCATGCCCCTGAGACTACCATTCTAGGATCATGCCCCTGAGATTGTATTCTCTTGGATGAGTTGCCAACCATTGTCAGCAATTAATTCAATGCAGGTTTTAGTCAAGCCAACATTTTAAAATTAGACTAATTTAATGACATCTAGACTATGCTTCTAGCTTGAAAATCAGCCACCAATGAACTCCCTTGGTGACAATAAAGCCTTCATTTGCGATTGTTATATTATAGAATACGCCTTAGCATATTTTTTTCACTTTAACATAGAGCTATTTTTAGCCACAAGCACTTGTCTCGTCAGTAGTATGGCCTTGATATTGACGTCACAATTGAAATATGCTTTGTTATCCCTTATCCAGGCCGCTCTTGGTTGGGATAGGTTTGTTTGAGTTCCAATGCGTCCTATTTGTTCTAAAGAATGCCATTAGGTGAATTAGGTGACGCAATTTCTAGAATTTTTTACTATTCGTCCTGATTATGTCCCTGTATAAAGCGTGCCAAGTTTCTTAGCAGAGAGTTTTTCTGTGTCAACTTCTATAATGTTAATTTGACCAATCGTGGGTGAGTTTATTTTCCCCGTGTGCCCCACGAGTTTTTATTTTTCTCGGTCAAGGTATGACCGGTGTGCTGTGTCGGGAGGAACCACGTGTGTGAGATGAGTTTTGAAGGAGTGAACAGTGGCGAGTGCTGTGGATAGGGTGTATGATTTTTGTCTTGTGAAGGCAGTGAGATTTTCTACGGATGGAAGAGGACTTGTGTAACTTTAACTGTTTTGTATAGTATGTGTAGTTTTTTTATTCTGAACACCAGAGCTTATTTCTAATAAAGTTGTCCATTGTTAGGCACACATAGCCAATAAATAAGAAAACCTGCATCTCTGAATTGTTTGTTGATACTTGGAGCAAGAGTCAGCTCTGTAGGAGCTAGAAATAAAGGGGTTCTAGACCCTTGAAAAATTGTTCTGTGGCTTGTACGCAGGGGACCGACCTCTAGACAACGTACGTCACGTCACAGTGGGGGCTCGTCGACGCAGCTATATCAACCATAACCATCCACAGTGGATTAACCATACAAATCTATCATTCGCTATCGTCAAGGCACATCAAAGCAAACATCCAAGTCTACCATCCACCACAGTGGATTAACCATCCAAGTCTACCATCCACCACAGTGGATTAACCCCACAAATCTATCATTCGCCATCGTCACGGCACATAAAAGCAACCATCCAAGTCTACCATCCACCACAGTGGAGCAACCATCCAAGTCTACCATCCACCACAGTGGAGCAACCATCCAAGTCTACCAACCATCCACAGTGGATTAACCATACAAATCTACCATTCGCCATCGTTGAGGCACATCAAAGCAACCATCGCAGCCCACCACCAGTAACAGGGAAGGCTGTCGAAGCAGCCGTTTCAATTATAATCATCCATCACAGTGGAGTAACCATCTAAACCTACTATTCGCCGTCATTGCGGAACATCAAGGCAACCATCCATGTCTACCATCAGCCACAGGGGAGGCCGTTCGATGCAGCCATATCGACCCTAACCATCCACCACAGTGGAGCAGCCATCTGAGCCTGCAATTAGCCACCGTGAGAGCACGATCCAACAATGTAAGCTCATCATTTGATACGGGGTTCAACGGTTCAGCTAAGTCCAAACAAACCATGGCAGACTATCCACCACAGTGGAGGCCGTTAAAGCAACATCATATCGTCCAAAGAACCCTACCAGCCTACCATTCATCACAGAGGGGGCCTGACCAACCAGCCACACCAGCTCGTCAAAACAATCATCACGGACATACCAGTCCAGAGGAAAGCCGTGCAAACCAACCATACAGCTATACCAACCCTAACTTTTAATGACATTGGATTATTGGAGACACCAGACATTCCAACACTATCTACCTACGAGAATACACATGAACACATGGATTATACTTCTCAATACGTCCGAAATCCCAGTGGCACCTATCAAGAGAACCATCACAAGTAATTATTTTACGTAAATTATTTAGCTATTAGATTTGCAATTTCTATTGTTTTATTACTCATTTCATTTGATCCATTTTCTATTTGTAATTTTTTTGTAAACATATATGTTGACATAAGACTTAGAGATAAAAATGTCGTTACCCACTATTGCCGAAATTAAACAAATGGCAATAGATTTGGGATTAGAAGGGGAGGAAGCGAAAGAATGGGTAGCTAATAGGGAAAAAGAGGTTCGCGAAGAAGAAGAAGAAATTCGCGCATATGAGCGAGAAGAAAAAGAAAGAATCAAAGAACATGAGAGAAAAAATGTCTGGGTATAGTGCTAGTACACTAACTGGTACTGAAAGGGGACATTTTTCTCTGGATGATACGGAAAATGAGGGCAATATACTCGGAGACATGGCCTTTGGTGTAAAACCTATTGAGGATCGACAGGGACAAGACAGTTTCACGGGGGGGGGGGAGTGGTNAGAGGTACGAGGGGGGGGGGGGAGTAGACATACGCCAGAAAGAGAAATCTATGTGGGAAATCAGAGAAGAATGTGTCAGGTGGATCTATGGTTATAGGCCACCAGAATCTGTGGTGAGAAAAATTTATGAGCAATTAAATTCTAAGAAACCTTTTGACCTAAACACCTTTAAGGAATATACAATTACTAATGAAGAACATGGTCACATGACTAAAGATCTAGAGATAAAGTCGAATTGTTTGGACGAGGGTCCAAGCATGACTCAAAGTAAAGTTGATGAGAAAGCTTTTAAAGAAATCAAGCGGGAGGGGGCCTTTAGAAATAGTTATGGGAAATATAGACCGAGGAAATATACTAAGGTAGAAGTTAGTGGGAATGAGCTTAGATGGTGTCGAGAGAACAAGTCTTGGGTAAGTCTGTCAGAAACTAAATATCCGACTGTAGAAAGGGGCAGTATCAATATTAAGAAAAATGATCAATCGGATTTTGTTCAGTTTGGGATAGTTGACGAATATTTTGAAGACACTGAATTAAGTGCAAATAACCTGGATAATGTTAATATTGATGACGGGTGTGATGAAGTGCAAGATGGCTATCGCCCTTGCACCAGTAGTGAACCTAGTGGTATTGATGTTTCATTTGGAAACGTCGATAATAATATTGATTATGAGCACAGCGTTGTTGATGCTTTGGATGATTGTTTTGATTGGGATATTAATTATGAACCCAGTGTAGATGGTTCAGATGGAAATTTTGATAATAATATTGTTTATGAACTTACTGTTGTTGATTCTTCTAGTGATGGTTTTGATTGTTTTATGGCTTATGAACCCAGTGTAGATGATTTTAATGATATTTTTTTATTGTGAGCCTAGTATTGTTGATGTTCCACATATTGATGTTGATAGAGTGACTGAGGTTTGTAGTTTGTTTGATTGTGATATTGATTATGAACCCAGAGAAGTTGTTTGTGATCAGAATATTGTTTATGAACATAGTGTTGCGGATACTTTACTTATTGATGTTGAGAGAGTGACAAAGGTTTGTAGGGTGCCGGAGGCTTTTGATGGCACACTCATGGCTTTTGATAACACACCCACGGGTGTTGAAGTCATGAACCACCTTCCGCTTCCACCCAAGCAAGGGGTCATGATCACAAGCATGAACCACCTTCCACTTCCACCCAAGCAAGGGGTCATGATCACAAGCATGAACCACCTTCCACTTCCACCCAAGCAAGGGGTCATGATCACAAGCATGAACCACCTTCCGCTTCCACCCAAGCAAGGGGTCATGATCACAAGCATGAACCACCTTCCGCTTCCACGCAAGCAAGGGGTCATGATCACAAGCATGAACCACCTTCCACTTCCACCCAAGCAAGGGGTCATGATCATAAGCATGAACCACCTTCCGCTTCCACGTAAGCAAGGGGTCATGATCACAAGCATGAACCACCTTCCACTTCCACGCAAGCAAGGGGTCATGATCACAAGCATGAACCACCTTCCGCTTCCACGCAAGCAAGGGGTCATGATCATATGGGGGACAAGCTGGCGTAACCACGAAGTAGAGACCGTAACCTTGACCAGGGCAGCGTCCACTAGATGTTGTCAGGGTGAACCTTCGACAGAGTTCACCGACACTCCTGAGTCAAGCTCATGTGTGTTATGTTTTGAGGAGGAGGGGAGATCGCAATTTTTGGCTGCTCGTGAGTTAAACTCAGTTATTTTTTAACATGTCACAGTTCACAGAGACTGTGAAGTGTTTCCGCCCCGAGACGATGGGAAAATTGATTTGAATAAATTTGACACGTCTAACAATGTAACACGTGTTTTGCTTTTCAACAATGATGGTATTTGTTACAAAGGAGAAGGGACAGCTTGGGGGGAAGCAAAACGGTCTTGGGGTGTAAAGGACTTGTTGGGTGAATTCGTGCCTACTAGACCGTGCAGGTCAAACCCGAGAAGAGAGAGGGGTGAGTTGGGCGGATCAAATAACCTCCATGATTTTTTAAGACAAGGGGATAAGCAAAACATTCCACCGTCTTGTATGTAAACATTTAAGGGACAATTCATGGAGGTCCACACATGCTCAGATGTTGACATTTGTTTTTCTTCACTTTTTCATTTTTGAATCAAGATTTTTCGAAATCATGTGCTGTAAACATTTAAATATTTGTGACAATGTATTAAAATAAATGCTCAATTTGATTGTAGGAAAATATTGAGATGATAAAGAATAGTAATTATTTTATCTATTACCATGTATGTTTCATTAGAGATGTCTTAATTCTACAATGCATTGCCATGACAATAGTAGTGACTTTCAAAGTATGATTGATAGCGGTTGATAGCGCAGTGTTTTAAGATAGACCTTTCATGAGAAAATTTACTAAAATATCTATGTTTTATGCTATAAATATTGATGTCAGTTTACCAGAATATGCACGCGAAGTGACCGCTGTTTTTGTAAACTCCTATAAATATTGATGTCAGTTTACCAGAATATGCACGCGAAGTGACCGCTGTTTTTGTAAACTCGCAACATTGGGTTTCACCAAACGTCACTCGTGAGGGGGGGGGGGCGTGTCACGGTCAGATCGCGTGAGTTTTTCTGTGTCAACTTCTATAATGTTAATTTGATCAATCGTGGGTGAGTTTATTTTCCCCGTGTGCCCCACGGGTTTTTATTTCCAATTGTTGCTCTGTAGAATGAGTTAATAACTTGTTGACTCCGGAATTGTACAAATTTTTTAAGAAAGAAGAGTATTTGGTTGACGTTTGTATACAAAAGTTGACTGTTTTCATGCCATGTCAGATTATTTTTATTGGTGACTCCTAGGTACTTTTTTGTCTCGACATTTTCATACTGTGTTTATTAATTTGTTATTAATTTATTTATTTTTTTTTTGACATTCAACAGGTTACAATGCAAATTTTTAATGTCTGCTGAAATATTACACGACCAATTTTTCGTTTATAAATTTGATGCGATTTTATATGATCCCTTGTCGCAATTTTGAATTGTCTATTTGATCAAAGTAGCATTGTTGTCCCGAAAATAAGAAATCACGCACAAAATAATGCGTTCATACAAAAAGTTTACGTAAATTTGATCGTGTGAGCTGAGCATTATGTTTACTTCTATAAAAATATGGACAGACGGACGCATAGCGAGCCAGTCCTTCGGAGACAGTAACAGAAATAACAACGAGATCGATGGATTAATCAAACGTTTATTGTTTATCGTTTTCAGAATTTTTCAGCCCACATGTCTCTAGCTTCCGTGTACCGGTATCTAGAGAAAACAAAGTGGTAGGACAGCACAGCTTACTTAAGTCAGCACATATTTTGATACAAGCCTTGCTCGGAATTACTTTTATTTTTAACAAAAATTTAAATAAAAAAATTTGCCATAACACATTTTTAATGCAAATGTCTTTAAAAAAAAAATTAAATATATCAAGGGTTCACGATCAATGTAGGGATCATTCTGATATGAATTTAAAACAAATACTCTTAAGAGATAAAGAAGATAATTATGACTACTTAGATGTCAGTTCTTGACTTGATGTCTTGTACAAAGACATGGATGTCTCTTTGTTCAGTTACACGTTACTTCCAGTTGAACATCTTCTCTGGTCGACACGCCCAGCATATTTTCAGCCTGGCACTGGTACACTCCACCATCACTTTCTCTGACGTCGTTTATTTCCAATCTTCTGTTGTTGAAATATAAGTTGTATTTCTCTAATCCCCGGACCCCAGTCTGCACCACAGATGAACCGTTGGGTAGGAACCAACTGTATGACATAGTATAATTGGGATGGCTGAAACAAAAACAAAAAAAAAATTCTCTCAATCGTTAAAAACAATTTGTATAAGTTTACGTCTTAGTGTTACATGACTTGTACAAGATGAAATGATGATTGTAATTAGAACTTTAACGATACAATTATTTTAAAAATCAATAACATCAACAACATGTTGTGTGTACTTTTATTTTAGATGAAAATTTCCAGAGATGGTAATGCAATTAAAGTAATTTATCTCTAAAATCAGGAAGATTGACTTATAGAATCACTTCTCGGGTAATGTCTTGGCGAGAACAACACCATGATATTGAACTAAAGGGTTTTACCTGTGCAACAACCAGAGGCGTGTCGAGGGGGGGGCAGGGGGGACAGATGTCCCCCCGGGCGCAAGCTAGTTAGGGGCGCCAAAAATGTGCTTTGAAATTATATAATTGGTAAAAATAATGGGTCTGAGAGTTGAAAAAAAGAAAAGGGGGCGCTTTAAAATGGATCTTGTCCCCGAGCGCGAATCTTGTCCCCGCGCCCCAAACACCCTCGCTACGACTTTGGCAACAACAATAATAAATAAATTTAACTATACCTTTCTGCACTCATGTCTGAGTTTTACGATTGGAAGGCTCAAAGCAAAGCACATTTTTATGACTAGAATTTATGATCCGATGTTACCGGGATAATAATGACAGATATTTTGTGATATTTTGAAAGTATCGAGTCGCCCTCTCGCACAGTTTTAATTTTTAAAAAATAATAAAGTCGTTCCCGAAATGTTAGGCCATGCGTACGCAATAACACACGGTGTGCACGTCCTTGAACCAGGGCTGCAAACTCAATAAATTAACATTTACTGACAATTTTAAAAACTCTCAACAAAATTTACGGGAAAAAACAATTTTTTACGGACACATTTAAAATAAAATGTTGACCTTAAAACGAACGAATATGAAGCATAATCCAAGCATTGTAGCTAAAAATGTAAAGTATCCATATGAGTATATCTCTATTACCATGATCATATTTTATAACGTTAGTTTATTGTATGAGTATGACATTCATCATCAGTGACCGTGTTTAATTCCTCCTGCTTATGATCATACATAGAAACATTTACACTGTCGATCATTGTGGGAGTAATTTTTCCCGGTCCATTTCTTACAGTCAGTAAACGTTCCAACATTGGAGTACACCATTTCTTTCTCAAGTTGCTTTTCAATAAACTAACAGCATAAAAAACGGGTTCTACTTCTGCTGTTCCATGTGGAAGCGCCAATATTATTTGTGCAAACTTCGAAAGTAGCGGAAATCTGTACTCTTTTTGTTTTTCGATATTTCTAGTCATTTGTCCAATTTGATGCCAAAAAGCATCATAACCTCCGTCGGCCTTGACATTGCCTAAATCCGCAACTTCGTAGTCAATAAACTCGGCCTCTAAACAATCAAAATCTGCTGGAGACACAATTTGTGGAAAAAGCTGGGCCAGTTCCAAAATTTCCAACTGTTCCACCGATATTCTGTTAGTGGGTTTTAGTACTGACATGAGCTTCAGCACTCTGTTGCTAATAGGCATTCTTTTCTGGGTTGCACTGACTGCATTGGTATAAAATGCAAGAACATCAACATAAAACTTTTCAACAGTCGATGGATCATCTACTTTTTGCAGCTGAAGTTTAGTTTGATAACCAATGAATATGTTATCGCGTGATTTAAAGTTTGTACTTTCCAAGTGATCAAAACTCGTTAAGTCTTCAACTAACAACAGAACTTGTGGTCGTATATAGTAACCCAACAAACTCTTCAGCAGTTGATTTGCCTCTGCATATAATACTGGTAAGAATTTGATTGAAACATTTTGTTGAACTGAGTAAACATAGGCAGCACTGCTTGCAAAAACAACAAATAACATTTAACGACAGGATTTTGCAATTGAGTGCTAATTCTATCCACTGTAACCAACCAGTCACACTCATCATTTGATTGAAAGTGTATCGTATTGGTTAACAATACGATTAATACACTCCAACAGGCTAAACCATCTCCTGGAACACAGCTGCAATAATCGTAGAGTGTCTGCTTCCACGAACTCTTGAAACTCTTTGTACAGCTGTAATCTTTTGCAACTATGTGAAAAAATGGCTGTGAATGCCTCTGCATAGCTGTTCAATAAATTTGGGAAATGTTTTACATGCATCAGCGGCACATAGAGCAGCTACATGGCATGTACACTTCTGAAACGTGAAAGCACGGAATTTTTGGCTCCAATCATTACGTTAGCTCCATCAGTTCAAAGTGCCATTACATTGGCCAGTAGTATTTTATCTTCGTCCAGACATGCCTTGATTGCAGCAAAAATGAACTCTGCTTTTGCTTCTTTTAAATCAACTAAACAATAAACTCTGTATTGAACCTTACCAATTTCAACATCGAAGTAAATCACCACCATGGCCATTTTTTCTGTGGTTGATATATTATCAGTTGATTCGTCAAGCAACAGAGTAACATGACATGATCTCAACTTGGTGGACAAATCTTCTTTGTTCAGTTTGCCAATAACATTTTTTATCATCATAGATCCCTTTGTTCGTTTAGAGCTGAAATCTTTAGCGATTTTTGAATCAGGAAACTAATCTGCAACATTTTCCAAGATGTCGTCCAATAAACTTAGTGGAAAGTTTTTTCTTGCAAAAAAAATTGCCACTTTTAATTCACATTCTGTTACCTGTTTGTTGTGAGCAGTTACAGGAGACAGTTTTTTTTATCCTTAGTCAAGAACTGCAACATTCCATCAGCAAATTTCCTTGTAGTCATTGCCTGAATATGTTTTGCGCTTCTACCGTGGCTGCGAACGTCTCGTACACCATCAGATGCAAGGCTAAATATCTTTCTACAGCACGTGGATACAGCGTTATATTTGGAATCATTGTCCGTTGATATCAAGTCCTTAAATTTACCGTTTGCAATCCATGTAGGCTGAAAATAGCATTTTCTGTTCACTTTAGCATTTTTAACAATAATCTTATCCGCATTTTCGTTTATTTCACAGTTTTCAATGCAGCTATCATCTTCGCTTGTATCCATCTTCTCCGCCATTTTAAAAAAAAAAACAGATACTAATTTTACATTTATGACGTCATAATGTATGCGTGATTGTGACGTAACGACTAACGATCTGTCTAAACAAGTCCATCTTGCCACGATTTGTCTCGCCGCGCGAGCCTAGCTGTCCAGAAAGCTCTTACAGTTTAATTATAGATCGAGGGATGCCACTAAAACAATTTAAAAATTAAAATCTCAATCAAGAGACTAGAGATCACCAACATGATTTACTGAGTTTTTTAAACGTTGAGATGCCACGTTTTGTCGATTTTCTAAAGGACGTTTTCATTTTTTAACGGAATTTTACGGACAGGCAATTTTACGACAAATCTTTACGGACTGTCCGTAAATTTACGGACGGTTGGCAACCATGAGTTTAACATAATTAAATGTATTAAATTGATTGTAGCTATATATGTACTTAGACACACATTGTTTGCACTTCACATAGTTATTTTTATTTGGATAAGTTCACTAATGAATGCTATTTGGCTATGGAGTTTTTAGCACTGATTGACTTAAAAGGCATTCTCTTATTAAAAGTATATATTTAAAGGTCAAGCTTTTATAACGAATAAATTTAATAAAAGTATGTTTTTTGAGTGAATGAAACGCAAATTAAATTTAATTAAAGTACAAAGCTAAAATGTATTTAGATATTTTTTTTTACTTTTAAAAAAGCAATCAGTTGTAGGCCTAAGTATTAATTTTACTTATAAAAAGTGGAAAAATACATACTCAGTTGTATCACGTGGGGCTGCTAAATAAAAATAATAACAACGACCTCAGAGCTCTTGCTAAAATAGGCATTTCGCGCTATGACGTCACTTCAGTGTTAATTTAGTTCAAATTAACTTTCATTTTATTTCGCAATATTTTAACGCACGAAAAACAACAGATGTTTGGGTTTTCCCGATAAATGTGATGAGGATGTAATTCAAAGAGTAAACTTTTTTTACTAAACTTTTTTTTTCCATAGCCTTTCAACCTGGATAAAATGCATAAAATATATATTTTGTTGTTAAATTAAATGTATAATAAATTCATAATAATAATGCTTTAAAATTTACCAAAAGGGAAATTGATGTACCGGTATGTCACTTTTTGTGTATTTAAATTTATTCGATTGTCGTAAAATAATCAGAAAATCACTATGTTTGTTTTTTAAGAATCTTTTTTTTTGTGTTACATGATCAGCTTAGCTCATTCTTATATGCTAGTTTTAGATTCCAAACATTGACGACGACAATGCGTGAACTTCCACCTGCTAAGATACATGCTAAGACAAATCATGAACTCAAGTAACGCACATTTAAGAATCCCAATTTTTCGCTACACACCTTCCAATCCATGATACGTCACTTCAGAAATTTTATTTCACACCTACGAACTATATTAATATTGTGATATCCGAACCACTTTCAAACCAAATATTTATGAAAAAATATTTAAATTGAGACGTCTTCATTTTCCGAAAAGAAAATATTACCCACCAAGCGCAAAAGCGTTATATAAAAACAAAGTAAAGAACTCTATTGATAACACACCATTACTAACTACGCCATCACTGCTGCTCCTGCTAAAACATAACAACAATAACAACACCATTTCCATACCAAAATTTATGCCACAAAATAAAAAGCATATAGGAAAAGCCACGAAAATAATCTCAGTACCAAATACTCCGAATAGGATGAAGCGAGCTTGTTAGGAAGCAGCCAGAAATGGAAGCAGCCACACCAGAACCATTATATATATATATGTATATATATATATATATATATATATATATATATATATATATATATATATATATATATATATATATATATATAAATTAAACTTATAAAAATTAAGGCTGATAATAAAAATAATAAAGTTCATTTCAAAAACACGCTTCATCCCCAAAGGCTCGACGCGCGGTACAAAGTCAACAAAAAACAAATCTATAATTTACCACATTTAAAACAAACGCAACACTACAAAAACTAATTACAAGCATACAATGGCAATGTCTTTCTAGCCATTTCAACTCTAAGCAAGACAGCCATTATGCATTAACTGGAAAATAAGGTAGACAATCATGCCAGAAGGTGTTTGCGAAATAGATGTGTCTTTAAATCGGTTTTAAAGGACTCCAGTATCTGGCTGTTTCTGAGATCGACAGGAAGGGCGTTCCAAATTGTTGGAACAGCAAATGCGAAAGTGCGCTTTCCGTAAGTCTCAAGGCAAACACGTGGTGTCGAGAGTTTGCCACTATCGGATGAACGGAGTTCTCTAGTGGGTACATAAGGCGTCAGCAGCTCTTTCAGATAGGACGGCGCCAGTTCATGTAAGCTGTGGTAGCACAAAGGTACGAGCACGCACCGGCAGCCAGTGCAACTCTCTCAGAAGTTTTTTTGCATGGTTGAACTTGCGTTTGCGAAGAACAATGCAAGCCACATTATTCTGTGCTTTTTAAATTTTATCCAGGAGCGTAGCTGGAAGACCCACCATGAGAGCATTGCAATAGTCCATGCGTGATAGCACAAATGCAGACATCAGCCTCTTTGTTGCATCAATTGTTAGGAAGGGCATGATGTGACTAATCCTGCGCAGCTCAAGAAAAATTGCATTGCATAGCATGTTAATATGACTTTCAAAAGTTAGTCTTCTATCTAGGTAGACACCCAGGTACCACACCGTTTGAGCTAACTCAATACGCACACCTGAGAGAGTAATGGATGTCTTGTTATTTGCAGATTTTTGCTTCTGAGCGGTCGCGATGGGGATATATATATATATGAGATATTCATTTCTGAGATTTACCATGGTTTCTGTAATGAATATATTTCTGTGTATTAGTTTTTCTTTACAGCTTTTATGGATTATAACTCTGCACAATGGTGCATTGCTCTCAAAGACAAAACTGGTTTGAACAAAAAAACAATGTTCTTATAATAGTAGCATGACTTACTAGCCAGAGAAGACGCATTCAAGTTTAGCAGTCTTGTACAAGGCAGCTGTCGCATTTTCGCTCTTGTATTGCAGAATTGGTATGGACATGGGCGCAACTGCAAGAGAGGTCATTTTAAATGTTTTAACGAGTAACTACATTTGTAATGAACTTTGCCTGTCAATTTACTGACAAATACAGCACGCACATTTATAGCCAGACGAACCTGCCACTCTTGTCACGTTTAAGGAATGGTCATTTCCAAAGCGCGTAAGCATCAACCACTTCAAGTCCCATATACCGCATCTAAATTTTGCAGGCGTTCCGCTAAAGTTTTCATCTTCTCTTAGAACCGGTGTGATGTGCAGATTTCCTGAAACGCAGTCATTTTAAATTTATTTACATCCTTTGATTATTTGTTGCCTTGCCCAAAGCAAATTCGATAAATTAAGGAGAGATAATTAACACTATTCTATTGAAAAAAAAGACCTTGACATAAAGATCATATTGAATGACATTTTTTAACACAGAAATACCATTAGGTCCACCTTTTATTTCTCATGTGTAATAATCTACACTTCTTTGAAAGTAAAATGACTAGTCCTTCTGCATAAATTTGGAACGCATACTAACAGAAGCAAAACACTAAAACAGCGTTGTGTTGTCAGAACATGGAATAGTGTCCCTCTTAAAACGATTTACATATTTCAACCACATCAAGGGAGATATTCTTTTAAAATAAAAACCTAATTTAATTTTTGGTTCTAGGGATGAAAGAGTTTTGATTTTCTTTAAATCGAAAAATTGGGTAAGAAAAAACTTTGTCTCGCACTTTTACAAAATTAATTCTTTATAATCATCATAAAAATGGAATAGAAAAAAAAAATGAACATGTAACTTATTTTTCCTTCCAACTAAAATATTATCTACATTAATTTCGAAAAGGCTGAGGGGCTGAGCTGGAGCTAAACAAAAAAATGTCCGAGTGGACCTGGAGTGGAGCTGGAGCTAAACAAAAAAGGTAAATTATTAGAGATGTTATTATTTTACCGGTCATGTTACACCATAACAAAGCCAATCTTTGTTATCCTACCTACCACACGTAAGGAGCCTACTAGATAGATCTTAGATAGATACCTGTCAAATCAGTATACATTCTTCCATTTTCATCTAGTCCTCCGAACCATTTCCTGATCCATCCATAGCCGAAAGTATCGCCAACCATTTCACCCTTGTCGCTGCACTCCAAACGCACGTAGGTGTATTCCTGAACGGTGTGTACCGTGTCATCTTTATCAATAAAACGTTCAAATCCTGACATAAAAGATTGTATAAAAATCAGTTATTTTGGGTGACTGCGATATCTGAATAGCTAATTTTGGGATTGCACACAAAAATAGGTAATTAAATACTAAAAATATCAGTCTGTATCAAACAGTAGTACATAGTCATAGGTAAATGGTAAGGAAACATTCTAATTAATGGTAATTTAATTCATTTTTTAATCAATTTCTTTATTTTTCTATAATTATGATTTTCTTTGGTCAGTATTGGAATATTAACAAATCTTTCACAGTCAACTCATGACATTTGAGTTAAATTACGTTAGGCAACATTTTGTTTAAAGACGCCTTTAATTAGGGGATTAGTGTTAAAAAATATAGATGGGCTAAGTGTTAATTATATAAAATGGTTACTTTAGAAATGTGTTTATTTAATGATTCTTTCGTACTAATTAAAAAGAGTCTACACATGAATACGTATGTCAATGCAATGGATGTCTTTAGAATTTCAAGAAAACCTAAATTGAGTCATGGTAAAATACATATATATATATATTTATTTATATAATATATATATATATGTATTGCCTATTGTTAAGTCCATTGGGAATTCTGTCAAAGATTTAAGTTTTCCATCTCACTAAAGCTACATATACATTATTTTAAAAAAAGAACACGTGATGATGTTATACCGATAAACAATCTGAAAGAAGTTATTCTTTTAATATAACAAACCATTTAAAAAACCCTAGGACATCGTTTACTTTGATGGTGGTCCACATACAGGCACCGGACCGCGAGCCATTTTTTGAAGGTCCACATAACATGAATAATTACGGTAGTAAAAAAAATGTTGTATGCTCAATAGACCTTCAACCGGTCTTGTGGACAGATCCACCATCTAAAAGGTTAGGGGAACAATGCATTAGACTAGAGCCAACAGTCAATGGACTAGACTAGGGACTAAATTCAATGGAATAGACTAGGATCTACATTCGATGGACTAGACTAAGGACATATATTCAATGGACTAGACTAGAGTCTACATTTCTTGGATTAGACTAGAGTATACATTCGTTCAAGTAGAATCTGACAGCTAAACAATGGTTAGGAATTTCTGACTGACCTTGCAAATTAACACAATCATCTAATCACTCGGTTTCATTGTCTGTAGAATATAAAGAAATTGGTGTGACCCTGGTGAGTTCATAGTCCCTTGAAGCAGACCCGTCTGACGAAGTGACCAAACATTGTTCACAAAAATTGCAGGAATTTCCCGCATGTAGGTTCAAATAAAAGCGAAATTAACTTCTTAGTCACACCTTTATCACTAAACAGTGCTTCATATCTACTAACTCTACTGCAAATTTTTGTGATTGCTAGCCAAAGGCGGCACTCTAGCTATAAAGGTAAAACGGAATAAAGTTTATTCGATAGAATTAGTGAACATCTTCAGCACATTGAGCAAAACATTTCTCGGTACCATTAAAACGATGACAAACCGAAAGACGTGTTTCATTTATCCGCCACAATATGGTTTCAAAAGCATTTTTTTTTTTTTTTTTTTTTTTTTTTTTTTTTTTTTTTTTATTTGTAATAATTTTTTACGACAACACAAAAACTAAAAAAAAAAAAAAAAAAAAAAAAAATATTTACACCCCCAAGTTATTTTTAAATATTTATATTTCTGTTAATAACATCAGCTTGAGGCAATCGCACGTAGAGCCAGGTACCGTCAGTGACAGGTCACAAATTCATACATTTACAAGCAAGTTTACTGAGCACTTGGGCTCAAAAAATCCTGATGGGCAAAACAAACTTTTCCGAAAAATATTTATTTGTTGTACATGTAAAAGAAATCATTGAAGGCATGGCAACAGAACCACACTGCAGTTTTAAAAGAAATCATTGAAGGCATGGCAACAGAACCACACTGCAGTTTTAAAAGAAATCATTGAAGGCATGGCAACAGAACCACACTGCTGTTTTAAAAGAAATCATTGAAGGCATGGCAACAGAACCACACTGCAGTTTTAAAAGAAATCATTGAAGGCATGGCAACAGAACCACACTGCAGTTTTAAAAGAAATCATTGAAGGCATGGCAACAGAGCCACACTGCAGTTTTAAAAGAAATCATTGAAGGCATGGCAACAGAGCCACACTGCTGTCTTAAAAGAAAATCATTGAAGGCATGGCAACAGAGCCACACTGCTGTTTTAAAAGAAATCATTGAAGGCATGACAACAGAACCACACTGCTGTTTTAAAAGAAATCATTGAAGGCATTCGAAAGCACCAAGCATTAGTTTTAAAAGAAAGCCTCGAAGACATGGCAAAAGCACCAAATGTAGCCTCAAAAGAAAATTGGTTATGACATTTCAATAACATTATTGCTTTTTAACAATAATTTATTAGCGATATCGTTTATTTGCATGATTAGATTAGAATGTACAATAACAATTTTTGGTCACATTACCGGTGTCCAAGCCATGACTCTAATTATTGTCATGTGCATTTGGCTGTTGTGCGTTGGATTGGGTGGAGCGGGGGGGGGGGCATACACAATTAGTTTAATGGACCAGACATGCTAATTCTTAAAGTACATACGTGGTTGGCGTATCCTGACGGTTTGGTAAAGTGTATTTGTATCCAAGTCACTGGAGTGAGGCCACAGTCCATAACACTTGTACAGGCCCTCATCGGAATCAGAAAAATTTAAGAATCGCAGAAGGGGTCCACGAGTTAGAACGGTAGAGCTTTCATTCACAGGTTTGTCGTCTTTGGTCCACCTGTACCTGTAAGATTATTTTCCTTGAATTGGCTACATAGATATACGCGACTACATTCAATTTAATTTAAAGGATCAATGATACATCATACATCATTGTTTTTGTCAAGTCAAATTATTTACCACTCTTTTGCTTTACTGTCGATGTTCTACTGCTGTCCGTAGCTTTCACACAGCAGAGCCGCGAAGTAGAGGAATTCATTCTGCAATTCAGTAGCTCACTTAGAATTCACCGTTTGCAGAATCATTTTCAAATGTTTTGTCCTATCAAGAAACATAAATATTCTGGCTGCAGCTTGAGCTGAAGCACTTCACAGCCCAGGTCAGTACATCGTCAATCTGCTCCATCTATTGGACGATGCCATACAATTCTGTCTGTACGTAGGACTCTTCCATCGCCCTGGCCCAACAACAGCCCGTTTACGCCCACAGATGACACTCTTGTCAAGTTATGTTTATCAAATGTTTGATCGTTGTCCGGACCGCTCAGCAACAAGAAAACATGGCGTCTACTCGGCTGCCGGACCAGTAAATGGGCGAGTGTTTTCTCCCGGTTAAGCTATCAGCACTCTCAAGCAATATCTCTGACCTCTTTGTCATTTTTTTTTGGATTTTTTTTATCGGCTTATAAAGTATGTCCAATCGATTTCTGTCACTTTTTATGTATTCACTTTTCTCCTCTCCTCTCTTGACCACATCAAAAAATGTATAAAGATTTTAACTAGATTTAAGGTTGATATCAAATTACTACATAAGAATTTATAAATATTTGTCAATTATTTTTAAAAAAAACGAATAATTCAACAAAATAACGACTGATAAATGTTAAAATTGTGCTTCTAACAATATTCGCGATGATGTCATCGTCATCATTTAGTGGCGCTGCAACCAATGTAGGGCCCTGGCCTACACCACAACATCCTTCCTCTCGGATCGATCTAAGGCTTTCCGCCTCCATGCGTGAAACCCTAGCTGATGTAAATTTTTCTCTACATCGTCGATCAATCTCTGTTTTGGTCGACCGCTGAGCCGTCTGCCCATAGGTATCTGCCAGCATATCACTTTTGTTGCTCTACAATTCGGCATCCTTTCAATATGTCCTGCCCAGCGCAGTCTGCCTTTTTATTGTGGCGACTATGGCTCGGTCTTTGTACTATTGGCTAAACTCTTGTTTGTGCAGTTTTTTCCGCTATAAGGATCGTATATAAATTTATAAGTGGCAGTCAAATTGACCGATAAAGAATAATGGAGTTAAAATTAACAAGCTAGCAAATTTATGAAAAGTATTACTCATAAGCAGGTTCAAAATCACATTCACAATCCAGAGCATTCAGAGCCAACCTCGGATTCGTCACGAACATCGGGTTCATCATGGACACATCCACAGGATTCTCTCGCCACTTGAGATCATTACAATTCACTTTGAGGGGTACAAGAAGAAATCAATTTAAATAAAAAAAAGGGAAATTTGATATCAACGTACTTAAAATCAAAGTACTTAAACTCGGAAGTAATAAAAAAAATGTAGCACGAAAAAAATGTAATACGAAAAAAATGAGTATGTATTTTAAATGCAACATTTTGTGACTTAGAGAGACAAGGTTTAAATACTAAAACCACTGAATGTTCTCACCGCACAGTTGTTTATTCTAACAACCCGGGCATCAACATGAATTTGTGATAAGACTTTAAATCCGGTATAATCCTTTCAAGAGAATGTCCAATCAAGGACTAGCTTTTAGCAACCAACTTCAAAAGACTGATCAAAGAACTCTTCAAACAAAGCCATGAAATAAAGCAAAGTGAATTCAATGGCCAGAATGGAGCACAGTGAATACAATGACCTGAATAGAGCAGAGTGAACACAATGGCATGGATAAAGCACCTTGAATACCATGGCATGAAGGGCACCGTAAATACTATGGCCTGAATAGGGCACCGTGAATATAATTACCTAAATACACCATCGTAAATACATAACCCTAAATAGGACGGTGACCCGAATAGGACACCTTGAATAAAATGACTTGAATAAAATGACCTGAATAAAGCACCGTGCATACAATGACCTGAATAAAGCACCGTGCATACAATGGCCTGAAGAAAGCACCGTTCATACAATGGCCTGAATAAAGCACCGTGCATACAATGACCTGAATAAAGCACCGTGCATACAATGGCCTGAATAAAGCACCGTGCATACAATGGCCTGAATAAAGCACCGTGCATACAATGACCTGAAAAAAGCACCGTGCATACAATGACCTGAATAAAGCACCGTTCATACAATGACCTGAATAAAACACCGTGCATACAATGACCTGAATAAGGCACCGTGCATACAATGACCGGAATAAAGCACCGTGCATACAATGACCTGAATAAAGCACCGTGCATACAATGGCCTGAATAAAGCACCGTTCATACAATGACCTGAATAAAGCACCGTGCATACAATGACCTGAATAAAGCACCGTGCATACAATGACCTGAATAAAGCACCGTGCATACAATGACCTGAATAGAGCACCGTGCATACAATGGCCTAAATAAAGCACCGTGCATACAATGACCTGAATAGAGCACCGTTCATACAATGACCTGAATAAAGCACCGTGCATACAATGGCCTGAATAAAGCACGTGCATACAATGGCCTGAATAAAGCACCGTTCATACAACGACCTGAATAAAGCACCGTGCATACAATGGCCTGAATAAAGCACCGTTCATACAATGGCCTGAATATGGCTGTTACGCACGGCCTTCTATATTGAGAAATTAATCTCCTATTTTAAATTTATGGCTCGTTTTAAACAGTGCCTAGCAAAACCACGATACCATAGACAAATACAAAAGTAAAGATACGACACTCAAAAACAGTACCAATTGCAATTAATAAGATTAATATAAGTATTAATATAATTACAAAACAAAAGAAATATAATTACAATCATTAACTTACATAGTATGAGAAGTCTTGTACCGATACACAGTTGGTAAAATGTGCCAATTAAAAATGTACAATGACGAGTGCGAATAAACACATATGAGTACACAAAGAATTATAACACTTGTCTTTTAACGTTTAAATATCTATCAAATCAGTCTCTTAATCCATCTGTCTAGTAAAGTTAAAAATAAATATCAATCAGTCTCCGAAACCATCCCCGATATTGCTCTCTTTGCTTTTATTGTAGGTTCTACCGAAAAATCTAGGCGTCTCCGGTTTGTACTCGTAACTAGAAAATTCCACAATCTACTGTATTTTTCGAACTCCTTCATGTTTACAAGAAACCGACGCTAGATCAAAGAGATTAAAGCACGCTCACAACGACCGTAGCCTAATTTTGTGGTGAACCAGATTTCACGGCACGGGGAAAACATGTCCTACATAACACCTCCAATCTTATAAGAAAAAGAATCATTTTAAAAAAATTGAATTTTTTTCCATAAAATTTTTTCAAGAAAGTACTTTTCTTCCTTTCAAAATATTAGACACAAAGTTTCTTAATAGCTTATAAACAACAACATAGGTTATATGTACGGTGAAAATTAATTTCAAATGGACAAAGTATCAGCAATAACATTATCTTTGCCTTTAATATGTCTGATGTCCAAATTTTACTCTTGAACAAATAGACTCCATCTTGACAATTTTTTTTTATTTTTGGAGACCATCTTATTCAAAAATGTTAAAGAATGTGATTGGTAAAAACAGTACTGAATTTAAAGAACAACTGACATAAAAATCAAATTGTTGGAGAGCAAGAATTAAACCTAAACATTCTTTTTTCTGCTGTGGAATAGTTTTTCTGATGGGAGTTAAATATCTTTAAGAAATACGAGACAGATTGATCTACACGATGGTCATATTCTTGAAATAGAACTGCACCAATGCCAACATCAGTGACATCTGCAGCTAATTTAAACTTTTTGTTAAAGTCTGGTGCATAAGAACAGGAGCAGTAGCAAGTATATTTTTAATGTTTTCGAATGCTTCTTGACAAGCATCTGACCAATACAATTTTTAATTTTTCTTTAACATATTACTTAACGGAGAAGCAATAACTGAGAGATTTTTGCAAAATTTTCTATAGTAACCTGCAATTCCCAAAAATCTCATTAACTGTTTTCTAGTAGTGGGGGGTGGAAGTGATACAATAGCATTTATCTTAGCTTAAACAGGCTTTACATGACCTTGACCCACTATGTGACCTAAATATTCCACAGTTGCAAGACAAAATTCACATTTATTTAAATTTACAGTTACATTTGCCTGCACAAAATTTTTAAACAGAGATATTAATTGGTTTACATGAGTTGAAAAAACTTGACTGTTAATAATCACATCATCAATATAGGCGCTGCAATTTTCCTGGTCAGCAATAATGTTATTTACTAGATGTTGGAATGTAGCCGGGGCATTTTTCATTCCAAACGGCATTACTTTATATTGGTATAAACAACCTGGAGCACAGAAGGTGGAGATTTATTTTGCTCTGTCAGATAGAGGAACCTACCAATAACCTGATAGTTTATCTATCTTGATGACATATTTGGCATCGCCTATTAGATCTATAAGATCGTGTATCCTTTGAATTGAAAAGGTATAAGACTTTGTAACTGCATTCACTTTCCTGAAGGCAATGTAAAACCTGTAGCTTTTGTGTGCAAGTTTTGAAGACTCTACCCAGAGTTTAACTTCCTCTACACTAGCCGCATGTTCTCAAGACTCCAACAAGAGTTTACCTACCAAGGTCCAAACTTCTACTGATGTCAAACAAGACTTCATGCCTTTCATATCGGAAGGATTCGTATCACTGCCAGGTGATTTTTCCACTCTACAACCAATCGAAATCTTACGAGATTTGTTGTTCTTTACATTCAGTACTTGTTTTTACTAATCACATTCTTGGACATTTTTGAATAAGATGGTCGCCAAAAATCAAAGATTGTCAAGATAGAGTCTATTTTTACAAGGGTATAATTTTGACATCAAACATGTTAAAGGCAAAGATAATGTCATTGCAGATACTTTGTCCAGAAATTAATTTTCACTTATGTTATTGTTTATAATCTATTAAGAAACTTTTTGTCTAATATTTTGAAAGGCAGAAAAGTACTTTCTTTAACATTTTTATTGGAAAAAAATCAATTTTTTTTAAAATGATTCTTTTTCTTATAAGATTGGAGGTGTTATGTAGGACATGTTTTCCCCGTGCCGTGAAATCTGGTTCACCACAAAATTAGGCTACGGTCGTTGTGAGCGTGCTTTAATCTCTTTGATCTAGCGTCGGTTTCTTGTAAACATGAAGGAGTTCGAAAAATACAGTAGATTGTGGAATTTTCTAGTTACGAGTACAAACCGGAGACGCCTAGATTTTTCGGTAGAACCTACAATAAAAGCAAAGAGAGCAATATCGGGGATGGTTTCGGAGACTGATTGATATTTATTTTTAACTTTACTAGACAGATGGATTAAGAGACTGATTTGATAGATATTTTAACGTTACAAGACAAGTGTTATAATTCTTTGTGTACTCATATGTGTTTATTCGAACTCGTCATTGTACATTTTTAATTGGCACATTTTACCAACTGTATCGGTACAAGACTTCTCATACTATGTAAGTTAATGATTGTAATTATATTTCTTTTGTTTTGTAATTATATTAATACTTATATTAATCTTATTAATTGTAATTGGTACTGTTTTTGAGTGTCGTATCTTTACTTTTGTATTTGTCTGTGGTATCGTAATTTTGCTAGGCACTGTTTAAAACTAGCCATAAATTTAAAATAGGAGATTAATTTCTCACAATATAAGGCAGTGCATAACAATCGTAAATACAATGGCCTGAATAGGGCACTGTGAAAAGAATGGCCTGAATAGAGCACAGTGAATACAATGGTCTGAATAGGGCATCATGAATTCAATTGCCTGAATAGGGCACCGTTATTACAATGGCCTGATTAGGGCACCGTCAATTCATTGGCATGAATAGGACACCGTGACTACAATGTCCTGAATAGGACACCGTGACTACAATGTCCTGAATAGGACACCGTGAGTACAATGTCCTGAATAGGACACCGTGACTACAATGTCCTGACTAGGACACCGTAAATACAATGTCCTGATTAGGACACCGTGAATACAAAGGCTTGAGTAGAGCACTATAAGCCGTAAAGACAAACGTCGCCCGTGCTCCACGTTTTTGGTTGTATCTTGTTGAAACCATTCAGGAATATGAATATGCGTAGTTTGTTTAACAGAATAGGATGCGACAGCTCCACCAACAAAAGGGACCTCATTAAAGTAGAGCAGGATGGTTTATTACAGCTCCACCAACAAAAGGGACCTCATTTAAGTAGAGCAGGATGGTTTATTAGCACCGCCTCCAACCCCCCTCCCAGACTTCGCAGGTTTTTATTTGAATTGCTATGTACTGTTACACATCTAGTAAGAAACAACTTAACAATCTGACCAAGTTAGCCCCTGCCTGAAGAAAAAACTGAAATGATGAACCTGACAACCAATGGCACCACGGATTTAAATGTCAATATTTTTTTTAAAAAATCATGCAAATAATCATGCAAATAATCATGCAAATAATCATGCAAATAATCATGCAAATAATCATAATGATGATAAATTATTGATCCTCATTTGTTACAACAAATAATTGTTATGTAGGTATTATTTTTGTTCACTAGGTGACGTACGCGCTGTGTTCAGTAGGCGACATATGCGAGTGTTCAGTGGGATACATATGCGGTGTGTTCAATAGGTGACATTTGCGATGTGTTCAGTAGGTGACATATGCGATGTATTCAGTAGGTGACATATGCGATGTGTTCAGTAGTGACATACACGATGTGTTCAGTAGGTGACATACGCGATGTGTTCAGTAGGTGACGTACGTGATGTGTTCAGTAGGTGACATGCGGGATGTATTCAGTAGGTGACATACGCGATGTGTTCAGTAGGTGACATACGCGATGTGTTCAGTAGGTGACATACGCGATGTGTTAAGTAGGTGACATACGCGCTGTGCCAAGTAGGTGACATACGCGCTGTGCCCAGTAGGTGACATACGCGCTGTGCCCAAAAGTGACATATGCTCTGTGCCCAAAGGTGACATACGCGCTGTGCCCAAAAGTGACATATGCTCTGTGCCCAAAGGTGTCATAGGCTCTGTGCCCAAAGGTGACATACGCGCTGTGCCCATAGTTGACATACGCTCTGTGCACAAATGTGTCATACGCTCTGTGCCCAAAGGTAACATACGTGCTGTGTTCAGTAGGTGACATAAGTGCTGTGCCCAGTAGATGACATACGCACTGTGCCCAGTAGGTGACATACGCGTTAGGTCCAGTACGTGACATACGCGCTGTGCCCAGTAGGTGACATACGCGCTGTGCCCAAAAGTGGCATACGCGCTGTGCCCATAGTTGACATACACTCTGTGCACAAATGTGTCATACGCTCTGTGCCCAAAGGTAACATACGTGCTGTGTTCAGTAGGTGACATAAGTGCTGTGCCCAGTAGATGACATACGCACTGTGCCCAGTAGGTGACATACGCGTTAGGTCCAGTACGTGACATACGCGCTGTGCCCAAAGGTTACATACGCGCCGTGCCCAGTAGGTGACATACGCGTTGTGCCTAGTAGGTGACATACGCGCTGTGCCCAGTAGGTGACATACGCGCTGTGCCCAGTAGGTGAAATAAGCGCTATGTTCAGTAGGGGACATACGCGCTATGCCAAAGGTGACATACGTGCTGTGTTCAGAGGTGACATACGTGTTGTGTTCAAAGATGACATACGTGTTATTTTTTTCAGTAGGTGACAAACGCGCGGTGTTAAGTAGGTGATTTACGCGATGTGTTCAGTAGGTGAAGTACGTGCTGTGTTCAGTAGGTGACATACGCGCTGTGCAAAAGGTAACATACGGGCTGTGTTCTGTACGTGACATACGCGTTGTGCCAAGTAGGTGACATACGTGCTATTCCAAGTAGGTGACATACGTGCTGTGTTCAGTAGGTGACATACGCACTGTGCCCAAAGGTGACATACGCGCTGTGCCAAGTAGGTGACATATGTGCTGTGTCGAGGAGGTGACATAAGCGCTGTGCACAAACAATGACATACGCGCCGTGCACAAAAGTGACATACGCGCTGTGCACAAAAGTGACATACGCGCTGTGCACAAAGGTAACATACGCGCCGTGTTCAGTAGGTTACATACGTGCTGTGTTCATATATTATTCATTATATATATGAATATAAAAAAAAAATTTAAGCTAAAGAAATGCGGCATAATCTAAAAGAATGACGGAAAGCTGAACTGAAGGACAACTCACACGCTGAAAGACCGCAGATGAGGTGCAGACCAAGGGCAAGCATCGGAAGTATTTGAAATCTTTTCATGGTCGACGATCTACTTAAATCGTTACAACAAAAAAAAAAAAGATTATTTTCATTAACAAATAAATTGGAAGCACCTAAAAAATATAATTCTTAAACCAGTTGTTCTTAACCATTTGTCGAGGTACCGAACCCCACCAGTTTCAAATGCGCATTCACCGAACCCTTCTTAAGAAGAAAAATAAAATATGATTTTTTTTTTGATTTTTTTTTTTTGGACCTCCACCGAACCACTGAGACTGACTCACCAAACCCCCCTGGGATTCGATCGAACCCAGGTTAAGAACCACTGTCTTAAACCAATTAAAAAGTAGATTTGATCGCATTAGTTCAAGTTAACCGGTTGAGTGTGCAGACTGCCAACAGGATAAAAACAACTGCTATCCCGGGCTGGGGGATTTCACAACGTCTATCGAATGTGACAACGCCATCCTCGACACGAAGGGATGCCCGTCTATCGAATGTGACAACGCCATCCTCGACACGAAGGGATGCCCGTCTATCGAATGTGACAACGCCATCCTCGACACGAAGAGATGCCCGTCTATCGAATGTGACAACGCCATCCTCGACACGAAGGGATGCCCGTCTATCGAATGTGACAACGCCATCCTCGACACGAAGGGATGCCCGTCTATCGAATGTGACAACGCCATCCTCGACACGAAGAGATGCCCGTCTATCGAATGTGACAACGCCATCCTCGACACGAAGAGATGCCCGTCTATCGAATGTGACAACGCCATCCTCGACACGAAGGGATGCCCCCCTCCCATTCCCTAAATTTCAGTTTTTAATTTAATTTAAGCGAGACTTAATAAACGTTCACAGTCAGGGGTTGACTGGAGTGTCCACATGGCCGTATGCAAAAATCCCTATGTAGGTACTTCTTTCGCAAACTATGCAATGTGGAAGCTGCCAAAGCAGCCCAGACAGTACCGGGCCGGGATTGTTCAAGTCCATGCCCATGCACAGCTGCGTTAGCAGTCGTTTGATCATAGAGAAACTTAATGTTGGGCACGACAAAAATTGCAGATGTATTATTCGAGGGTTAATAAAAAAACACAAACTATTTTTCAAAACTAAATTATTTTTTTAAAAAGTATGAATCTTGACATTCGTCATAGGTCTGCTGGTAAAACAACACAACCTCAAAGTCGTTCAGTACTTGAACATAGATGTTCATTCAGTCCATTCAAAGAGATTTTCTAGCGAAGTCCATAATACTCACCTAATGCTTAAGTTAAATAATACAAGCCGCACAAAATTTGAACCAGCGGAGTCTACTGCCCAGCAGCTTCAAATGAACGCCTTCACTTGATAAGCTAGCAGCTGTCGTTTAAATTAGGAGGACAAACTATTAAAAAAAATTTTTTAATATTTCTATTCTGAACGATATTGCTTACGTATTGATTACACATTTTGAAATCAAATTAATGTATTTGTTATTTTTTTTTAAAAATAATCTACAGCATACAATTTATCTTGCTCTTGTATAAAGGGTAAACAATTTATCTTGCTCTTGTATAAAGGGTAAACAATTTATACGGATCTTGCATAAAAGGGTATACAATTTATCTTCATTTTGTTTAAAATTGCACACATTATCTTGAATTTTTAAGAAGTCTATAATTTGTCTTGATCTTGTTTAAAGGGCATACCATTTATCTGGATTTATGGAAAGAGGAATACAATTTATCTTCATCTTGTTTGAAAGGTATACAATTTATATAGATCTTGATAAAAGGTACACAATTTATAAAGATCTTGATAAAAGGTATACAATTTATATAGATCTTGATAAAAGGTACACAATTTATAAAGATCTTGATAAAAGGTATACAATTTATATAGATCTTGATAAAAGGTATACCATTTATATTGATCTTGATAAAAGGTATACAATTTATATTGATCTTGTTTAATGTATACAGTTATCAGACCTTGTTAAGAAGTATAGATTTTATCTTATCTTGTTTGAAGGTTCTACAATTTATTTAAATTGAGCTATTTTTTTTCTCCAAGAAAAATGTCGAATAAAATTAGACGTTAGACAAGATGCATACAATTCTGTTGCCACGTACCCAGAGAATCTCATCTCTTGTATTTCTACATGGCTAGTTGACACAGCAGTACACAACAAAAGACGATACCATAAATTAAATGCCATAACAAAGACAACGATACCCAAACCAGGGCCAATGACATACACATAATAATTTTATTGAGTTAATAACAAACTAAAAATTCAAAGAGATGTAACAACTAAAGGTATTGACTTTAAGGATATTGATGATTTGTACCGGTACAAGGTTGAAAAGGGTATAATGTTAAAAAGGAACATACCCGGTACACACACAGGGTAAATAAACAAACATTTGTCTCTTATCGCAAATCGCTATGGTAATTATCTCTCTCCCACTCTCTCTCTCTCTCCTCTCTCCCTCTCTCTCTCTCTTCCCTCTCTCTCTCCCCCTCTCTCTCTCCCTCTATCCCTCTGTCTCTCTCTCTACTTTCCTCTCTCTCTATCCCTCTCTCTCTCTGTCTCTCTCTCTCTCTCTACTTTCCTCTCTCTCTATCCCTCTCTCTCTCTGTCTCTCTCTCTCTCTCTACTTCACTCTCTCTCTCTCTTCAATCTCTCTATATATGTATATAACCTGCTTCAGAGACATTTCTAGATCGGGCTTACACTTTGTATTCTTTTCTTGATAAGTCTCGATTTTTCTACATAATTCTAATCATACAGGCTATACATTTTATTTAGTTGTAAACAATTTCAAGGGAGACTATTTTTATTTAGCCACACCCTAAACGCGTTGTCAAAACGTGGGGTCAGCTGAAGGTCATTCACGGGGAAAGATGACGTAAACGGGTCTTCTGCATAACATTGTACAACAACGATTGTAAGAAGATGAGTACAATTCTGTACAACAATGATTGTAAGAAGATGAGTACAATTCTGTACAACAATGATTGTAAGAAGATGAGTACAATTCTGTACAACAATGATTGTAAGAAGATGAGTACAATTCTGTACAACAATGATTGTAAGAAGATGAGTACAATTCTGTACAACAATGATTGTAAGAAGATGAGTACAATGATGTACAACAATCATTTTTTGAAGATGAGTACTATTCTGTACAACAACCATGGTAAGACGATGAGTACAATGATGTACAACAATTATTGTAAGAAGATGTCCATCATGCACATCATTAAAAGGTTCATAAAACAGAAGATGGTAGACCATGAACTATATTAAATACGTTCATATGATAAAGAATGCTTAGACGTCACCAGTTTAAAATGTTCATATTACAAAATGATGTTGAGCAAGAAGTCATATCTTTACCTCTAGTCAGCAAGAAGGATCATCATAACAGAAATTGAGCAAGAAGCTCGGTCATTACTGGAAGTGAGCAAGAAGTCAAGTCAACAAAAAAGTGCGCAGGAAATCAAATCATTAAATAAAGTCAGTCGGAAGTCATATCATTAGAAAAGTAAACAACAAGTCATATCATATAATAAAGTAAGCAAGAAGACATATCATTAATCAAGTTAACAAGAAGCCATATCATTAATCAAGTTAACAAGAAGTCATATCATAACATAAAGTTAACATTAGTAGTCATATCATAACAAAAAGTTAACATTAGTAGTCATATCATAACAACAAGTTAACAAGTAGTCATATCATAACAAAAGTTAACAAGTAGTCTATGATAACAAAAAGTTAACAAGTAGTCATCATAACATAAAGTTAACAAGACGCCAACAGTCAATACCCCAATGTTAAGTCTTGTCGAATGTGTGGATGCAGATGACAATTCCAAAATTCTAAAGCTTTTCATTAACTCAAGTCTCATAAAATTACACTGAACGCATTGTTAGAGTCGCGCGCCGAGATCAAATTGCAGTAAACGATCACATTAAGACGATTGGTGATGGGTTCAAACCCCAGCTGTTCCCCAAAGCAGCGGTCAGTGTATGTACGGACGTCACGAGGAGTGCGGTAGGGTGGGGTGTAGGGATGAGGACCATACCGTTTGACACCCCATAGAGGGGGGGGGGGTTTGAGGCTAAATGGAAAATTCCAAATTTGATAGGGTTCAATTGAGACGGTTTCATTAAAGAACTCATTTAAATTCACCATCGCGCCACCAGTTTATGGCATCCTCAGATGGTGCTGTCTCCAGTTTATGGTATCACGAGATGTTAGACGTGGTCCAATAGGACGCCTGGAAAATATAAGGGTTGGGTCACGATGACTTTACCACACCGCGTGACAGCAATCCTGCTGACGCCATTGTACCTTCAGGTGGTATCCATACAGAAAGACCAACCCAAAAGATAGCTTAGGGGCCATCTACCAGTAATAGAAAATAATTGATGGTTGGGATAGGGTTGCGTTTGTCGCTTCATTTGTATATTCTAAATTGAAAAAAGTGTTCGTCATCTTACTGACTGACTCATCAGAACCAACCCCAAGACTGTGTACGTGAACCTCTATTGGAAAGACTATACATAATGATAAAGCTGCTTAAAGTTTTCATTGGCAAATAACATATCTTAATATGTTTAATATATATATATATACATTTAATACAAACCGTTAAAAGAAATTAGTAATAATGTCAAAATTCGACTACACTCAACAACAAAGATGGTGATACCCTAAAAACAAGAGATGGTGATACCCTCAACACCAGAGATGGTGATTCCCTGAACACCAGAGATGGTGTTACCCTCAACACAAGAGATGGTGATACCCTCAACATCAAAGATGGTGATATCCTCATCATTAGAGTTGGTGATACCCTCAACGCCAGAGATGGTGATACCCTCAAGACCAGAGATGGTGATACCTTCAACACCAGAGTTGGTGCTACCCTCAACACCAGAGATGGTGATACCCTCAACACCATAGATGGTGATACCCTCAACACCATAGATTGTGATACGCTCAACGCGAGAGATGGTGATACCCTAAACGCCGGAGATGGTGATACCCTCAAACCATAGATGTTGATACGCTCAACACCAGAGATGGTGATACTTTAACATCTCAAGATGGTGATACCCTCAACGCCAGAGATGGTGATACCATCAACACCAGAGATGGTGATACCCTCAATACCAGAGATGGTGATACCCTCAAAACCAGAGATGGTGATACCCTCAAAACCAGAGATGGTTATACGCTCAACGCCAGAGATGATGCTACCCTAAACGCCGGAGATGGTGATACCCACAACACCATAGATGTTGATACCCTCAACACCAGAGATGGTGATACCCTAAACACCTGAGATTGTGATACCCTCAACACCAGAGAAGTTGACACCATCAACGCCAGAGATGGTGATATCCTCAACATCAAATATTGTTATACCCTGAACAACAGAGATGGTGATACACTCAACACCCAAGATGGTGATACCCTGAAAACCATAGATGGTGATACCCTAAACACCATAGAGGGTGATACCCTAAACACCAGAGATTGTGATACCCTCAACGCCAGTGATGGTGATACACTTAACACAAGTTATTGTGATACCATCAAAACAAGAGATGGTGATACCCTCAACGCCAGAGATGGTGATATCCTCAACACCAAATATTGTTATACCCTGAGCAAAAGAGATGATGATACACTCAAAACCAGAGATGGTGATACGTTCAATGCCAGAGATGATGCTACCCTAAACGCCGGAGATGGTGATACCCTCAAACCATAGATGTTGATACCCTCAACACCATAGATGTTGATACCCTCAACACCTGAGATGGTGATACCCTCAACGCCAGGTATGGTGTTTCTCTCAACACCAGAGATGGTGATACCTCAACATTCCAAGAATTAACAGAAATGACAATCCCAGAATGGCCCGTCGTGAATTATGGATTGGAAGGCAATGAAAGATTGAACAAGAGACGAACTGAAGCCTCTACTAAAATATATCTGCAAGGTTCAAAACTGCAAATATTATTTTATATCAAATACAATTGGATATTGTGATGTGGCGGACATCTTTTATTTCTTAAACTTAAGATGAACACTCGGCAATCTCTTTGTATTGATTTCTCAGTGGATTTAACAGGTTTGACAGATGTGGCGTCTCGTTAAGGCACTGCTCATAGCACGATTATCGCCCCTTTTAAAAGTGTGAAGTGGGTGTGTGATATGTTGTGGGTGCTCTTCAAAACACTGGGACCACCAGCATGAAGTGGGTGGGTGATATGTTATGGGTGCTGTTCAAAACACGGGGACCAACAGATTGAAATG